CCGTCGCGCCCTCGCAACACACGCATCTAATGCGCCACACTTGTTGCGAAGAAACAACACCAAAAGACGTAGGGAGGTAGCGACAAGACACGAAGGGAGGTAGTGACAAGACAATGCGGTGTCCGTCCACTTCCTTTTTCTTTTATCTTGATAGCAATTATATGGACAATCAAGGTTCACTTGTGCCGTTGCCGTCACGTTCCATTTAAAAACCAAATGAATAACATCGTCTCACTACTCGTATATTGTATGGGCGAGCGAAGGCTTTCGAAGGCGGATGACGGACGTGATTCAAGTTGAGATGAAACGCATACTGGCCAGCTCCGTAAGACGAAGGAGCATGGCTTGCGCTGCTGGGGTAGCCGCTGTGAACATTAATGACAAAGGCGAGCGAAGTTTCGATAGAGATCATTGGATGGTTATAGCCTTGTATGTGATATGCTCTCACCACTCTTACCGGAGACAAGCAACACGAAAACCTCTTCGCTCACTGGAGCGGCCGTGTTCCCTCACGCCGACCTTTTGTCGACTTATGTGAGATCTCGGATGCTAAAGCAGTTAGCTGCTCGACTTCGCATAAATTTCAAATTTGTTGCTATCATTTTTCATTGCCTGCGTACGCCTTTCTTTTGTTACCTCACAAAATTGTAAAACAAATTCGGTTAAATTATATATTCATTCGGCGAAATCATGGTGAATTCATTTTAATAAATCTGTATATAAAGCTGCGTGGTTGAAGTTTGAATTTGTTTTTGTTTTTTTTACATTCGCAGCTCGTCCCGGGGCTCATGATCAAGGCCTTCATGGTGACGTCGGTGCTGCTGTCAGTCAACACCATCGGGGAATTCATTTTCAACTTCGATGAAGTCGACTATCCCGCTTTCAAGGCTCGCGTGAACTCCTCTCACGTTTAAAGCGCCGTGAACGCCCGATAACGTATAGGGAACTTACTGTACATGTTACATAAAGCACGTAATTCGCTTCCATTGGACATTGCCCACTACTTCCACTGCACCTCAAATTATTACGATTTAACAGGGCCGCTCGGTCTCCAACAGTCCTATCGAATTTTGATAACCACTCGGCTTTATAACGGAAATATTGACCACATGCGGTTATTTAACCTGCACCGACATTGCACAGTACACAAGCTTCATATCATTTCACCTTCTCAAAATACACAGGACCAGGGCTGTCTCCAGAAAAATATATTTTTGGGGATGGAGGAAAGGGGGGGTCACCTTGGGGGCCAGGCAGGCGCATGTGGTCGAGTGTTACCTTGTGCGCTGTATACCGTGGCCCAGGCTTGGTGTGCCACCCGCTGGCTGCGCCGCTGCACAGAACACGGGTTTATTGCATTTCGCCGCGCGACCGTCGCAGCAGGGATCGAACCCGCCACCTTTGGGTACACCAGCCTAGCACCGTGACCGCTAGACAACATCGGCAGACAGCCAACAAACTGTTTCACGAATGACGAAGACGTCCATTTCTGACAGTTTTGCCTTTTTTGGCCACTGCTCCGCGGTGTGGGCAGCCGAGCTCGTAATCTATCCAATGTGCCTGAATGTTTAAGTTTTGAAAGATGTGCGCAAGCATAAATGCTTTGAAGTGCCGAGCTGCTGACGCCGTATAGTCAATCTTTCTGATGGGTTTTGTTGCTGGTAAATCTATGAACTACATTGTTGAACTACATTTGACAAAACTGTAGAACCACAGGCGTGCGCACAAGGGGGGGGGGGGAGGTCGGGGGGAGGAAGGCGCCACCCTAATCACCCGTGAAAGGGGGGGGCGCAAAGTCTGCCCCTAAGGTTTACTCAATCGAACCTGTCCCACATACAACGTCGGGCATGAGGCATATTTCTTTGTCGAGCTACGATAGCGCGGATTGTTACCCAGTGCAGCTCTTGTGTCGCCTGTTTGTACACTGGATTATTCCTCCACGGAAGCTCTTAAGTACTGTTATGCCTGCGAGTCCACAGCGAACGTTCATGCTTCTGAAAAAGGCAACCTGTGTCAAGGCCAGCCAGCCCGCGAGCTCGCATGACGCGAACAACTGAACGGCGTCATCACGCGGCGGTGCCTTTCTGCCGCGCACGCACAGTGAGTCACCTCAGCCAGCGAGCCCGTCGAAGCAATTGGCGACTTCCTGTCTGGCGGGTCTGACGCAATGCCTGGCGACGTCACTCGTCCTTGGGTGCAGCCACGTGCAGCGCAGCGGCTTCAGATTTGATGAGAATGACGCGGCCCAGCGGCGACCCCATTGGAGGAGTCTGACCTCACGACCAGCCGAGCTTCTGGTTGGACATTTGGTTACTCAAAGAATCCACCCGGTGCATATAAAAAAAGCCCTGCGGCACGTCGCGAGCAGTAGACATATGTGTTACGAGAGGAGAGCTCGTCTCTTCGGGTTGCTAAGCTGTCGGCCCCAGTGCCGAATTTGTAACGCCTCTGTATATATGCTGTACATAAACCTTGTTTAACTCACCGTCGTCTCGTCCACTCGTCTATCAGCTCTGCGCAGAAGCAGTCGCGAGCTGAGAAACCTACGCTACCAAACGGCTGGTGACCTTCCCGGCGGAGTTCGAAGCAGTGGCGCCTTCGGGACCGCGTTGGCGTCGCCGTCTTTCGTAAACAGTAGTTGCAGCGGTGAGATTTCGTGGCGCCCTTCGTAACGTCGTCGGAGGCGCGCTTCGCAACAGTGCCCACTTTACCTCAAGAACGCCACGGTTTAATTTTGCAATTATCCCACAGGTGGTAGTCTCTACGATTTTTAATTATCTAACAACTGTTTTCGTATTGCTCGAATAGTAAATAAAAACGTGAACACCTTCCTTGATGAATTGACTGCAGTTTTCTGCCTCTTTCAACTCGCCTCCGCTTTGACGGCATACTGCCAAGCAAAACCAGAAGCACGAGTGTACATATTTTCTCACGTTCTTACGTCTGTCACGGTCATGGTAACATACCTGTAGTTACGGTTGAGTTAGAGCATATATACTTGAAGACAAATGAATGGAGAGAAAGGTTCGTGGCTAGATAAACATTTGTACAGATATGATAGAGATCAAAATAAACATACCGATACTAAAGCTGCCAATCGGCTTAATTATGTGTCACAGAACGAGCGCTAAAAAAGAGCGCGCCGCCAAATCCTTGCGACAACGGGCGGCAGAAACGCCGCGAGGTAAAAAGAAAAAAAAAAGAAAGCAAACATCCAGGGCTCCCGGGCGCGCGCTCTCCCCGCAGAAGCACGGCTTCGCAGACGATCCTCCTCCCCCCCCACATCGGCGGCCCAGCAAGGCCGCGATTTTTCTAGAACGAAGGAGGCGGGGTCAGACCGAGTGAATCATCCTCCGGAGAGGGCAGTCGAACCGTCTCGTGCCTCTCCCCAGCCTTCGCTGCGCATCGCGCCGACGAAATGAGGAGAACGTTCTGGAAGGTGGCGCGGAAAGTATTTAATCGAGCGGCCGAGACGAGAAATCAGAAGACGGAAAGTTAGCGCCGGAGCGCGTAGGAATTCCGCCGTGTAGTCGGCGAAAGTTCTGCCCGTAGTGACAGAACAGGAGGAGACGGAAGTGAGCGCCAGAGTGCGTAGAGATTCCGCCGTGTAGTCGGCGAAGTTTTTGGTCCGTAGGGACGGGTCGAGCTACAGGCAAGAGCGTGGGTTTACCGCTATCGAGCGAAGACGCGGGCAACAGCTGCGTGTGGGAAGCCGACGGATTTCCGGCGAAGAAGCTTGAAGCTTGGAGAGTGGCCCTTTGAGGACGCGAGGTTTCCTGGAAGAGAAACTTCGAGAGCTACGGAACGACAACAACGCTGGACTTTGAATGAGTGATTCTCGGAAGAGTATCATTCAGACCTTTGTTCCAAGGACTTTGGACTGAATAGGTTTTCTATCGCTTTAGTCCTTAAGTGTCTTGGTTGTTTAATGCATGCGACTGCATTGTAGTGCGTATTGTTGTCCGTGTCCGTTGTTTCAAGTGTGGCTGATTGTATTGTGTAGTACGTTGATTGATTGGTTTGATTGGTAACATATTGTATGTAACTAGTGTGGAGTGTGCATTTTTGTGTATTATTTTCATCTGCCATTATTGAGAATATAATTTGTTTGTTTATCAACTCTCGGCTCTGTCTTGTTCTTTGGGCCACAGCCGGCGTCCGCTGGCGCGCCAAAAAGGACCACTTCTAAATTGTCCACGCTTTCGTGGTGCGGTTCGGGGAGCCGATACTTCGGCTCTTGGAATTAGCCCGGCGATCGCCTCCCTAATAAACGGGACATGTGTGACATTATGACAGTCCTGTATTTTCTGGGAAGTGTTCGACAAGGCTTGAACATTGATATGTCTGTTCGTGCAACTAACGTTGAGCAATGCATGAAAAGGTAGCGTGAGCTAACTAGGGAAGAAATACGACTGAACGTAACATAATCCGCCAGCAATCGAGTGGTACAGGCGGAAAGAGAGCGTCAAGGTCTTGGCACGAAGTGCAATGTACGCTTCTGTCTTTGTTCAGCGGACAACCAGCGGCAGCTATCGTTGGCTTACGCAGGCCCACAGCCCATATTTTCGCTAGGAGTAGCACATACTTTTTTTCGTCGTCTTATGACATAGCATGTGTTATAGAGAGAACTGGCAGCGGCTCAACCTGTCGTAAGAGAATATAAGGAACAACCCGATCGATGCGCACGCGCAAATGTGGCAAAAGTTCAGTCGTGACCTGGTCTTCAGAAAGTAAAGGTTGAAATGTTCGCGCTGTCATCACTGCATCCTTTCTGAAGGTTCCGGCCATACGCTGGACCTGAGCCCACAATGTACACAGACATAGCTACGCAGAAGATGAGACTTCATATAACAGGTTGCAATTCGTATTTTTTTTTCTTTAAACATCTCACATAGACAAAAAGAAGGCAAATGTCTCATTCAAGTTTTATTTATTCAAGAAATAACCAAGCTACATTGCATAGTGGTGTAAGATATACTATTCGATTGAGACAACAAATGTGTGGCATAGCCTTTACTCCGTCTTTTATGTGCACGAACGTGTCATCGCCCTGCAGAATGACCGCAGTATGCATTCTCATTTGAGTCATGACTAAGGCACAGTATCTAGACATGACTCGTGTATAAGCCGGCTAGACTTCAGCTAGAACTGCTGAACGATTTACACAACGAAGTTTAGATAAATATACTCTTCAGGTTGCGTTACGTAGTCTGGGCACCAGTTGCTTGATCAGGTACAGGTCTTCTGTCTTGGTACAAAACTTCTCGGGCAAGTGGTCCTCGTTATTTCAGAAGAGTGGCTTCTTGACCGACAAGGTATTGCATCTCTACAAAAATCTGCGAAAAAAACGTTGACAAGGACAGCGCTATGTGTAATACACAGAAATCTCCATGCCGCTAATTAACATTCACGCATGAGCAGGAATCCGCCTTTGCATAACACCGTTTTCCGCTTACAGTGCAATTTAAAGGCACGGTACAGTCTTCAGGTGAAATGTCTTGAACAATCGGTGTAACGCTTATTAAAGATATAGCCTTGAGGCTAATTCACTTCAGCATATAACTCTCAAAAGCACGCGATGCCTTGATGCCACGGGACAGGTCTTCCGCAATGGTAAGACATTGTACTTGAGAAGCACTCTAACGTTAACAAAGTATACAGGCACAATGTGGTCTTCAGGTGGAGGGTTTGAGTATTGGCAGAGTATTGCTTTCAGGAAACAAACCTATGTTGTTGTTTCCTTCACTATGGTTCGAATAGAGTGAGCCTCGAGGGAGAACGCGTTATTGCACAGCTGTTCTTGGAATTGAATTGAAAGCGTTGCAGAACGCTGTTCAAAGGACACCGTTTTTCGTTCTTGACGCAGTGCGGCCGGAAATGATTCGCCGCGTGCCGTCTCAATCGTAAAGGTGCGTGCACACTGGCGGAATTGCATGTCACGGCGGCGTGCCGCCCGTCGGCGCCTCGGCTTGGCAAGCAGCGGCCAGCTGTTCACATTGACGGCGCGGGAATTATGACAAGCGTGGAGGTATCAAGGCGCATGCTCCCGCTGGCTCGTGACTTGACCCCGACCGATGGAGAGAGGTGGCGTGGAAAAAAAAAAAAATGTCCGGTTGCTATCCGCCGATGTGAGAAGAAAAAGGGGGAAAAAGCAGGCTCTGATTGGTGGTTTGCTTGGACGGGCAACCGGCGACAGCGGCGAGAAAAGTGCAGGGAGCGATTTGGTCGGCGCGAGAAAAAAAAACATTATAAAAATACAGCACGAGAACGACAGGGAAGAAACAGGAGAATACAGGACAGAGTGCTGTATGAGTGAACCAATTTGCCCAAGCCTTCACCTTAGCAAGGGAGAGAGACACTTACGCTTTTCAAGGACCACTCGTCACCCTCCCTGTACTTGACTTCCATAAATAAATGTTTTTCAGCCACCACCACCACGGAAGGAAAGAGAAAAGCGGCTGCCTTCGCGAGTGTCGAGTGGCGCGCTGCAAGCACGTGGGAAAGTGTCGCGCCACCATCACGCCTTTATGCCATCGGAGGAGGCGTCCCAGACGAGCTTGAAGTGCTGGAAACCGCAGACGGGACCGAGATCCCTGGCGCCTCGCTTCGCGTAGAAGTCCACGGCCTCCTTGTTGGTGCCGAGTACCTCGAGGCGCAATCCGTCGCAGTCGCGAAGCACTCCCTGCTCGGCCGCCGACTTCCAGAGGGCGAGGCCGACACCCCGGCGGCGGTACTCGGGACGCACGTAGATGTCCTCGATGTAGACCAGCTTCTGCAGCAACACGGCGTCGAATATGACGAAGAAGATTACCTGGCCCACGACCGACTTCGCCGTTACCGTCTGACGAAGGCGAGACGGCCAGGTTGACGCTGACGTAAGGCCGCTCGTTGTCGAACACGTCCCGCCGCAGTCCGTCCAGGGTGATCAGCGGCGGCGGCAGTTCCTGGAAGTCGTTCAGCTCGACCATCATGGCCAGCACGACCTCGGCGTCTTCCCGTCGCGCCGGTCGCACCTTGAAGGACGACATGACGCTCGCTGCTGTTCGATCACCGATGCTGTTGATGAAACTTCTACAGGGTAGTACCTTGCGGAACTGCGAAGACGAAAAAAAGAATAAGTAAATGAATAAATGGAGCGAAAGCTCAAAGGCGCCAGACCGGCAAGCCGGGTGCGGCCCTTCTGTGCACTCCTTTATAGACAAAGAGGAGAAACAATAAATTGGCTTAGATCGATAAGTTACACTCTCAATACTCTATCGTCGTGAATTTCATCACAACACGTCTATACTAATAAGCGCGAAAATCAGGGTCAAACGTTTTACGTGTCAATTACCCGCCGAAATCTCCGACGGTGACGCAAGGATTTCAAAGCGGGTTTTTTTTTGGGGGGGGGGGTACTTTGGCTCAACTAAATTTTCTGAAACTTGTTATATTAGGTCGCTGGCGCCTGCAGAAGAAAAAGCACTTTATTTTGGCTCAACGAGATTTTTGGAAACTTGGTATATTAAGTTTCTTGCGTCCGCTGAAGACAAAGAACTTTATTTTGACCGATTAGGAACTACGGAAGCCCTCGCATACGCCATCGATGACTGCTACTGGTGTGGGAACTTCAACCTGGCGTCGCCACCCGTATTTTTTTTTTCACGCGTTTTCTCGCTTGTCAACAGTCTTTTCACAAATAAAAAAACGTGATGTTTTTAGTATCGTGAAGGAGTAGTTTATTACCAGGATAGCAATTATTTTTTTGTTCCTCCTCAGATTCCCTATAAGGCAAATTCCGCAACTGCACTTGATACTTAGTTGTTCTTTCTGGCTTTCAGTTTCGACCCTCGGTTTACCGTAATCAACGAATATTGCAGTTGCTCGACCTATACACAAATATCGCAAGGTTCGTAAAACCAAATATTATAGCGCAATCATTCATTATCAGTGTTCTCTTTTTATATTACTTGTAAAAATGAACAACTGCGCGCATTATTGAGTGCGAACGCGATGGTATAAATTAGGCCACACGCACAGCTTGAACCAACATGCAGTAATCGAAATTACACACTTTTTAAAAGCGAAATACTGCAAATATTTGACAGAAGCGTGAAGGTAGGAATGGAAACCCGCTACAAGTTTCTCGCAGGAGGAACGCTTCATTAGTTGAGAAAAGCTCGCCTCGCCTGGCGATGATATAAAAGGCATAGTACATGACTGTCCACAAATGTTGTTTAGGTGCCCATAAGTACGCTACGCGTGATAATTAAAATCAGGTAGTTATATCTATAGGTTAGCTGGCACAAACAGCTTCACGGAAAAGGCAACGCCCATAAATATTTGCGAGCAGAAGCCGTAGTGGAGGGCTCCGGAAGTTTCGACCATATGGTGTCCTGACATTGCACAGCCGATAGCTCATTTTAACGCAAATCTGTTGCGTTGGCATAGTGATTGATTGCAGTTGCAAGAGGACGCAAAAGAGCGTTGTGTGTTTCGTAGCCCGAGAATCAGTCTTATTGCAAAGTTCGTGTACGGTCGACTATACCTATAGTACTCTAAATCGTCAACAACGTTTTCTAAAGCAATAAAGTTTATTCTCTCTTTTCTAAAACAAATTAGAGGCGGAAGTTAATGGTCGACAAACAAACAATTTCGGAATTTCACACCCAGCTAGAACGAAATCCCGGATTTCTGCTAAACAGACAAACAAACAAAAAGAAGAAAAATTACCTGGTTAGCACGGCCGAGTATCAAGAAGACATGTGCACGTCTCCAGCGCGGCACGCAACTAATGCGGACATATCTATATTCTTTCCAAGATGGCAGCTATGGTGTATCTACCGCTCTTAAAATGTCTATCTGCTAGCTTTGTTCGTCAGTGCTCTCTCAGAATCTTTTTTTTCTTGTAATCTTTCCCCTGACTGTCTCCAACATGCTGTCTTTGTTAAGACGTTCCTCTGACATTTACGCCTCTTATATCGTTTCCTTTCTCCTCTTCTGTATTTTCTTATCCGTCGGATTAAAAATATGGAGCGCATAACAACATGTCAGGCGTATGACTGGGCTCGCTACTTCAGTTATCGTGTCTGCCAATCTCCCTAATCAGCGGTTAGCTTCAACGGCAGTGATACGGAAGCTCGCATCGCACGCCAGCGATTGACGATGTCTCGAGCAGATGCAGAGCAGGAACATTGAACGTCGCAATTGTGTTCGATTCGAATATGATCGATCACAGCTGCCACGTACGTTATTGACTCCGTAAGCGCTCTCTAAGTTTAGCGATCATGTGTGGATTGGTAAGTATACTAGGGGAGCTTATCAATGTAGACAAGTGTTCCGCTCTAGAAAGTCTTCAGTACCAAAATCAAGTATCTTGTCAGTATTTCTGGGTTATCATACTTTCTAATATAATCTTTTTTTTTTTTTGCGGCCCGAAAGCCCAGGTTCGGCCCGAGGGACGGGTCCGGCCCGTTAGATCGGGCCCGGCCTGGGAGCTTTGGGCCTGGGTCGGGCCCGGGCCTGCGTCAGGCCCGAATCAGGCCCGGGTCTCATACGTACCGGCATAACGACGTGGTTACGCTGTTTTACTTTGGTTTGTGGGGTTTAACGAAGCGATGTGACACTATTTAAAACGCTGCATATGAGGGCTTTGGGTAATTTAGAGCACTTTAAGTCTATTAGCCTACACAGTAATTATACAGTAGACAACGCCAAGACTTGCTCTATCGGCATGCAACGCGTTATTTTATGAAACCTTATTATGAGCAGTACCAGCGCACAAACTCACGGGACGAAGAGAAGAGATACAAACAAGCGCTGTCTTCGTCTCGTGAGTTTGTGCGCTGGTACTGCCCATAATGTATGACCAACTAGCCCAACTATCAGTCCTGCTTAATATGAGTTTACACCATTGCGTAAAAGATGCTCTTGAGTACCGTGTAAGGAAATGTTTACCAGCTGGTATTGCTGCAAGAGCAACGATATATTGCCTATAGTTGTGTATATATTATGTACGCGTATCTCGGGAAACATCCCGAGTATGCAGCAAAGATCTCACGCCCTCCGCTATAAATAAGGAGCTATTTTTCGTGCACTAGAAGTGCATGTTGTGGAGTGACTCATCTCAGACGCGCCTATCGATGCCAATGTTGCCGATTTGTTGTGCTAGCGAGGCAGCTTCATGTATGTAGCATCTGGTCATTAGCAAATAATACTTAACTTGTATTCCCATTGTATAGAGCATATTTTTGGGTTATTTTTACGGCCTCCTTCGTCAATGCTACATTTTGTCACTTATTTATAGGCGTACTAATTACCAAAGCGCAAGCGCACGGCACTAAAGAACGTAAAAACTCTCCCGCGGCTAAAGTGAGTAAAAGATCTAAAACAGGTGATGATTATGACGATGACTTGCTGCAGTATCCTTTGTAACGCAGAGGTGCACTGTCACGGCTGTATCGACAAATTCTATTGCACAAATTTCTGAAGGCTCCAGTGACGACCCATGTTGAGAATTTTTCAATTCTTTGAAGCTTCTTCCCGTGGCTAATTGTGTTTTTTATATCAAAGAAAGCAACACGCATCAAAACTGGCGACGGGATCCCTATCTCTTGTAAAATATCAACGTATACAGGTTGTATACGTGCTTAGCTAATCTCTGGTTGGCGTCTGCAGAGGTCCAACCTGCTTGCCTCGTGTAGTTTCGCAAGCTGCATAGTCGCTACATTATCGGGACATGAGGGGGCGACGTGCACTGCCAACACCTCCTAGATTTCTCTTGCCTGTCAGATGAGCGCGAAACGCCCGTCATCTACGAGGGCGCTGCCTACGTAGGAGTGAGGGGCTTTGTACTTGGCCTTTGAGATTAGCAGTTTTGGCGTTTATTACTAATTTCAAAGGCTATGCCTTATATTGAAAAAGTTGCTTGCTGAATGACTGTGTCACTTACGTAGGGTTAATTATAATTACGTTTACGCGTTTTGAAACGTTTTTGCGTTATTTTTGTTGCATATAAGCTCCAAAAAACGTAAAAACTTATTTGAAGACACCCCTACTTGAGTGGCGCCACCACCGTAGTTCCGACGACCGCTGCTTCCCTAGTGACCGCCGATAATCCGGCAGGCAAGGGAAATCTAGGAGGCGTTGGCACTGCATGCCGTATGTTTGTTAAATATTCTAATAATACCTGTCGCTTTGCTCGTCGAAGTGTGTCTGGCGGACATGTGGCTTTTATTTGCGAATAATTATTTTTCGTGCTTTAGGAACCATTAATCTATCTATCTATCTATCTATCTATCTATCTATCTATCTATCTATCTATCTATCTATCTATCTATCTATCTATCTATCTATCTGTCTGTCTGTCTGTCTGTCTGTCTGTCTGTCGGTCTCGCAGGATGACCTAATTAACTTAGGTTAAACCGAAATGAGTACGGAATTAGTATGATCATGAGAGAGGCCTTTGCCCAGCAGTGGGAGTAGTCAGGCTGATGGTGATGATGGTGAACAATTAGACATTGCCAAACTATACCCAATTACGCAACAGTACACGATACCACCCCCCCCCCCCTCCCATTCTGCGATGCATTTACTTGGGCTCACCCCCTGGGAAAATACGGGTGGGAATATTTTTTTTAACTCTATATAGAGTCGGAGTATAAATGTATGACATTTTCTTTCACTTCATTACTTTAGTCTTTCTTTGAAATGCAAAAACAACGTAGCGTGATTAGCACTGGGCAGATGAGAGAACCAGCTATGACTCAAACTTTATTTGACATTGCTCTAAAATTATTTCCCAAAAGTGTTACAAGTGTAAATAACTGGAATTACACACAGATACTTAAAGTTGTGGCGTGAAATAATTTCTCGAAACACTCTTTAGAAGTTATATGTGTGCTGCAGGTAGCTACGGAATAACCGAATATTGGGTAGTGATTTGTTTATGCTTAAGGCATATTTGGCTGAAACGGACCAGGCCGGGTACGGGCCGTATTTAAGAACTCCGGGCCGGGCTCGGGCGGGCCGGCACACGAATTTTTCGGGCCCGGGCAGAAAAATTCGGCCCGTGCAGTGCTCTCGTGAGTAACGATTTTCGGGCCCACTGCATCGTCACGACGCGTCACAAACATGAATGTATGTTTCTTACTAACTATTTTCGCGCAAATGGTGCCTAATTCCGATCAAATTAAACAGAAATTTTACAGGGACTCTGAAATGCTTTTGACAATTTCGTACAAACTCATTGGGCCGGTAAACCAAGGCAAGTCCTGAACGCTATTTTAAGACGATAGTTATAGCGCGAGAACAAAACGACTACACAGAGACAAGGAGGACACGAAAGACACGAGCGCTGTCCTTGTCTCTGTGTCGTCGTTTTGTTCTCGCGCTATAACTATCGTCATGCCATACCAACTAGCCTAAGCTGCCACACTTCTGAGTTATTTTAAGACCAATTTGAGCTTGCGGCGTAAACTAGGATCACTGCGACTTATCCAAACGCGTTTTCAACCGCCCATTCGCAGAACGACATGCTCTGGTAACGCGACATCACCCAGGCTGCTGTCTGATTGGCCATGGAATGTACGAAAGTAAGATCGGCTCGTAGGGTGGCGGCATCTGTCAGATCAGATGTCAACCACTCCGCAATCTTCGCCTTTGTTGCCAGACGGCGTGCGTGCTGCCGAGAGCACTGTGTGAGCACTGTGTGGCCTCCCAGATTGCGCGCAACCTGTCGGCGTACAATCTTGGAGGTCTATAGAGTGGGCGAAGCTCAAATCATCGAGTGCGCTCATGCGAGCTCTGCGATCGCCGGCAATGTCACTGTGTCTCATGAGTTGAGGAGGTAAGGCTGAGGCGAGAAGGAGGGTATGATTAAATCGACCATAGCAGCGTTGGTACACAGCGTGTCGCTGAATTTGTGGTACGAATGGTTTGATGGTGATCTAGCCTAAACGCGGACAAAACTTCGAAAAACTCCTTCAGGGTCCCTTTAAGCTAACTGAGACGTTTTAATCACCTAGATTGTACCATCTTCCATTCGGTAAGTATGCGCATACGTGCGCCCTTTCACACATTCTTACGAAATATGAAGGTTGATAAATTGGAAAGAATAATTGGCGCTAAACAGCGTTTATTTAAAAGCGCCGCGGCACACAGTCAGCTTAATGACTGTAACTCCTGCTCATACACGTGCATGTACACCTTGTTTTTTATTTTTATTTTACTTGTGGGAGAATGGCTCTCTGACGCGCTTTCACTTTACCGACGCGCTCCCAGACTCACGACTGCCATATGCTCCTTCTAGCCACCGTAACTGCCATGCGGGAGGCTCCCCGACGCGCTGTACTCGGAGACAACTTTGTAGTCGCATGACCAAACAAAAGAAGCGGCACGCCCGCTTCTTTAGTCTGGCTGCGTTAGTTGCCAAGTAACGTTGGTAGTTGCTCCGTAGTTGTCACGTGATCATAGAAGATGGTGGCGCGCTTTGGGCTGGGCGGAGCCCACACACCGCGATTGCGCTCCAAGTGCTCTAGTTTGTCGACGGCACCTACCACTATTTACAAACATGAAATCGAAGACTGAGTACCATCTTCGGCGCGGTACAGATCGAAAAATCAAGCATTGTCTCACAAGGACAACATTTTCCAAAAGCCTTGCAGTTGGAAAAATTTTCTGTATAGTCTGGTACCTGACTAGTGTTCCCCTTTTCGCGAAGAACCCCCAAACCAGGAGTGTGGGGGTGGTATACCAAGGGTTCAAGTTTTTGAATTTCACATACGCGCGTCCATATGAACAAACGCATAAACGTACACAATGGGTGGTCGAGCCCCGCTTTCCCCTTTCTGGCTACGGCCCTGGTATGAAGGAAGGAAAGCGACGTAAGTCGCCAAGCACCACGCCCACACCGCGCCTCGCTCGGTCAAACTGCGCGCGCTTTCGCTCCCATGGGGCGTTGTGCGTTTGCGCGTTCACCTGTGCAACTGCTTGTCACACTCGCGAACTTGGTGCGAAGGAATTGACAACCTGAATGTGATTGGCAAGAGCCAGTTTCATTCAGACAGCGCTAAACGTCACCACTGCGCCACGTCGCAAAACTACACGTGGAATAGGCGGATTCAAGTGGCTCGTAAGTGCACTCTACAGCATATTAGCGTTCGCTTCCTATCCCCCTACCATGTTTGACACTTACCAGCACAGAGGAGTGCTTACCAGCAAACACTGGACTCCAGCAGGCGCGGAAGTTCCCGTTCCGTTTTACCGCTACACTACCGGGGTCTAGGAAAGGAGGAAGTGAGCAGTTAAGTAACTAATGCCTCGCTTCCACTATGCTTCTTTCGTTGCAATCGACATAGCATCTATGCGTGGTAAATTAAAGCACCGCGTGTTGAGACGTCCACCGTCGAAATAGAATCGCTTGAACTATTCCCGTCCAGCGCGAATGGTTGTGTTTTGAAACCCTTCGCAACGGGATGGTTTCGAAAACCCCGTTAACTACGAAGAGAATCTGCTGAATCATGAGCTTCTCTCGGGTCGTGAAGGAGTCTCCAGCGCTGAGCTCATTCTCGCCAAACGGAAAACACTTGGTAGGTGCACCAAACGTGATGTAGCGTTGTCGATTACCGACTTGACTACTTCTCTTTACAGGCTGTCCCGTGCGCCGCAAAAGTTACAATCTACAACTCCATCACGTTCCAGGAGATAGCTACGATTTCTAATGTTGACGTTGTTGACGCCATAGAGGTAAACTTTTGTTTTGCGAGCGCCTGCTCTTTGCATAGCGACATGCTAGGTTCACTACTTCAAGCGCTTACAGTTTTGCCTGTCTCGTCGTTAAACAGTGGTCTCCCGACTCAAAACTGCTGTTGTGCTTGTTGCTAAAGCCCAAAATAGTACAGGTGAGTACGCTTAGAAAACTCCATTGTAAAGTAATGAACACACTTGATTGTTTCTATGACGTTGCTGCATTTCTTACTAAAATCTTAGGTGTGGCATCCGGAGGATACAACTTGGAAATGCAGGATATCGGAAGGGTCGCTGGGGCTTATAAGTGCATGCTGGAGTCCTGACAGTCAGCACATCTTAACAACAGCGGATTTTCAGGTGAGTTTCTATTAGATCAATTTAGGTATAGAGAACCTAGCGAGTAAACAAATGAGGCCTGCTTTATGGCTCCTTTGCACTCACTGTTTAGTCTGTGCGCCAAGCAGTAACTCTAATCATTTTCTCCAAACATCAGATAATCGACCTTTGTTTTCTCAAGTGGCGCAATTATGCATGCGAGCTTTCGCCTAGTTTCTTTGGCCTTGTCATAGCACAACTTATATTATAATGAGATGTTTGTACGGCCGGTCATTGTGCGATGATTAGACGTGAACATAGTAACCTTCGGCATTTCTATCACCTTTTTAGATCAGGACGACAGTCTGGTCTTTGGTGGAAAAGTCTGTGCTTTACCTGAAGCAAGCCAAGTTGCCCCTGTCTCTGCGTTCATTCAGTCAATCCGGTGAACATCTGGCAGTAGTTGAGCGAAGAGACTCCAAGGACTTCGTTAGCATCATCAACTGCAAGACATGGACTCTTGAACAGGTGAGGCTTGCAAACTGGTATTGATAAGTCTTGGTGTTGTTTGTTCTAGTGGGAGCCCAAAACAGCGGTGAAGAGCTCATTTTTTTAATTCTGCACTCTGTCAAGCAGATGTTCATTCTGTGTAGCTGTACTGTTATATGCAAGCATGATATTGGCCATAGACTTCCTGTTAACTCTTACCACTAATATGTGTCAAACAACAGACCAATCCATCCAATCTGAGCACAGCCACCTGATATCACTGCAAGGCCTGTTATTTACATTCTTATTATAATATTCCAATAAAATTTCCTAAAACTCTACAACTTCATTTAACATACTCTCCTCAGTTATTTTAAGCAATAACGTAAATGTATACACTGATGAGGTGTAATGCATTTTGCATATTTTGATCTGTCACTTTATTTTTTGTAGATTTAGTATATTGGCTACGGCCATGGTAGCAAGCTTTTAAACATTCTGTAGGGATTCTTACAAAAGCTACTAACAGAACTTGGAAACTTGTTTGAACGTTGCATGATAGTGCATTTAATTACGAGAGTGCACCAAGCAAGGTTGTGTAACAAGCCCATGTAATTCCTATCAATACATGAAAATGAAAAATTCCTAAATAAAGAAGCATTTGGACAAAATGAATAACAAGGGTGAGATGTCAGGTCACACAGCAGCTCGGTTAATAGTCGTCGGGTATGTTTAACGACAACAGTTGCTATTCCCTGCGGCACGTAGATAGACAATTTGTTCAGTATTCAATAAAGCTTTGACAGCCTTTATGACCCTCATGGAAGAGTGCCAATCGACATGCATATTGAGATAAAGATACCTTGTGACACAGCACTTGTAATGCTCGCCACTAAATAGTGGAGATGACACCAGTGTGCACAATTACTTTTTCTGCACTGCTGTTGTATCGGTTACGGTCAATGCTGTTTCACGAATTAAACCAGTGAGACAGGTAGTGGTTGTCTGCTCAGTAATCTGATGATTAGCTTACTTCCATAAAATAACTCAAATGTACTTTCCATAGAACTTCCCAGTGGCATCCGAAGATATCGCCGACCTTTTATGGGCTCCAAATGCTGAGACATTCTGCATATGGGAGTCTCCGAGAACAGGAGTAAGTTTTGTATTGTTACGTTTTCACTTGGATATTGCAAGTATGTATATATGAATCACATTCTCGAAATTTTCTTGTTCCTTTTCTTCTACAGTTTCAGCTCTATGTTTACAGCACCGCTGGCGCTAAGCTTGCTTCGTTTGGTCTTAATGAAGAGATTATTGGTATCAAGTCACTGTCGTGGTCGCACTGCGGCCAGGTGGTACTGCTTGAGAGTTTTGACGACAAGGTATTTAGCTGGCAGTTGCGGTAAGCTGGCGAAAACCATAACTGATCGAAGGTTTGTTCACAGATAATGCTGCTCGAGACAGTTGCTTGGGGCAAGCTGCTTGATTACGAGCTCCCGGAAGTGCTTACAGACAACAGCATGGCAAGTGGAATCATGAAATTTGAGAAATTCATGTTCGATGGTATTTGTGATCATGTTAGGTGTTTCATTCTCATGCTAAGGGAGAAACACAATGTTATGTTAGCATAGCACGGTAGTGAAGGTGTGACCCTCATTTATTGCCTTGGATTTGTTTAAAACTGGGGTGCCTTGTGCATCCCTAATCAAAATATTTTAAAGGTATCTGTGTCAATCTTACTCAGTGGCTCTCATTGTTAGGTAGAAATACCGAAAGCTGGCACGTGCGATGGAATCACAAGAAAATCATAACTTTGCATGTTTCACAGCGAGTTTCCCCATTTAAATGTGTGCATTATATGCACTTGTGCATATGTGCACATTGTGCATGTGCAAACCCATGTCACCTCCATATAATAACTTCTTTGCATATCGCAGCTATCTGAGGAATGTTGCATGTTCAATCATGTGCCGTATTACTTGCTTCGTGTTTTTTGCCACTAATATGCCATGCTGCTCTTTTTTTTTTTGCTGCACACTTTGTGTGAGCAAAAACAATATTCTGGCTTCCGAGTTGTTCTATTCTAAAGATCTGAAATATAGCAACTGTCAATAAAACAGTGCACAAGGAATATAGAAAAACAGGTTTGTCAGTGGTTACATTCAATAGTACAAAGTGCTTCTTAATAGTGTAATGTTCTATACCTGGACAGGAAAACAGTATTCATTCATACAATAGCCCTGTATTTTCTGTCACTTTTGTCATTGTAAACCCGAGATGACAGTGAGCAACTGTATGCCCTGTTCCCTTCAGCCGACATGATCGCCACACCCATCTTTAGTCTAAGCACCTAACAAACAAGCCTGCTGGTAGGCCTCAAGTTTTGGAAACTGCCATTCGATGTTTCAATACAAGTACCCACTTCCTCTTTGCAGATTATATATAAGGAAGTCAAGACTAAACAAACCATAAAGAGGGGACCAAGACCCATTGAAAGTTACTGTAAGTGTAAAGAAATCGAAGCACTTTATCGAGGTGGCACAACCCCGTTTCGTTCACTTTGTACACGTTTGGTCACAGACGAGGTTGTTCCTATTCGGCCGGTGAGTCCTGGATACCTGATCAGGGTCGGCGACGGCTCGGATGCGTTATCGCAACAAACAGCCGTCAAGCTCAGTGCAAGTCAGAACTACCTGGCACGAATATCAGGTCAGTGTTTGTACAGATGGACAGTAGAACCCTTCTAACACATTTTCGAGTGGTCTGCGAAAAGCTGCAGTAGTTGAGAAATGGGAAAATTAGTGCAACCAGTTATCCACTGAAATAAACACCGACGAAAGTTCAAATTTCTTCCCCTTAATTATTTGAGGGGACGATAACCTAACTGAAGCACTTAACAAAGAAAGTGCTTCTTAACAGGGAGTTCTCACTGGCTTGTTTTTGTGCTGTCCCTGTGTTAAGGTTAAGAAAAGAACAACTAGCCAAAGGCAGTCGTAGAATACAAATACGGTGTTATGACTGAGCACTAAAAAGCAAGAACACTACATTTTAACCTTGCTATAATGAATGATTGTGCATATGACAAATATATTAGACTTCCGCAAATGTTCCAATGCTTCAAATATTCAGATGAGTATTAGTGTATTGGAACTTTCTTCGATACGAATTTAAATTGTTGAACATTTTAAAGCATTCGAGTCGCATGTAGCTTCTGGTAAAGACGATTTCACTGCAGTTAAGAGATGCTAGGCCGTGAGAACACGTGTATGTGTCCGTGTGTGTGCGTGTATAAAATATTTGCACAGCTGCAAAGTCCCACTTCATCGTTAAATGAACATATTACCCTCACATCGATTCATCATTCTTGTTATATCACCTTATGAGTGTTAAGTACAGTAAATTTTAAAACGAAACAAGTTGTCATTTGCTTTCTACCAAAAGTCAAATTGTGCCTCAAAGTTCAACTTCAAAGTTGTTTTCACTTCCTTTGAACCACAGAGAATGACATTTGCTCAAGCCCTTGTTCCAATTGACAAAAAAATACTGTGCAGTTTAGTTGAGTCACGACACATATGCCCATTTTTCTTTATAACATGTGATATAAATACTATTCGAATTTGACTTGAAGTTATTCGACCAAAATCACTATTCAGTTTTCATTCACTTTGAACCTGAAATTCACTATTTGCACAAGCCCACAAATGATCTGTTATAGTGAAGAAAATGAAAAACAGTCTTGCCATTATTTTTCAATGTCGCATTATTGTCCTGCCTTTTTTTTTTTGCCTTGGAGCTGACTTAAGATATAACAAGGTCTGACAGACATATATACTTCTGTGTGACTGTAAAAGGTGCCACTTAACCAATGGGCTCTACTTATATTGCTATTAACATCGCTTACAGCAACATTTCCGAACATTGTCTTCATCTTGGACATCAGGAAGCTCATCCTAACTGCTGTGCTAGTGCATCTTACCCCTGTTACCTGTAAGTCTATTCAAGTTGATTTGCATTGAATTCTAAGGCTACTTGCGGTGTAAGTGATTTCATTGAAAGACGATGAACATCAGTGCAGCGGCTCAATTTTCAATTGGAGCTTTTTCTTTGTGTGCATATTGCTATTTGTCAGGTTTGTTCCTTATGTAGAGATTAGTTTAGGTCAGTTCATCTTCACCCATCCTCAGCTTGTTCCTTACGTAAGGAGTTTTATGCAAGAACTTTTGACATCTAATGTTGCTTTTATGTTCTGTATTACAGTTTTTTTTTACTATGATGAGCAATCATAGCATCTGTACAGAGTGCCCACCTGCTATGGTCACAGCAGAGACTGGCAGTATTGCAAATAAATAAATAATGAAGAAAAATAGCGGCAAAGATAGTAGCCTCACGCCTAGATATTTGAAAGCATAATGTCATTTTGTGGTTGCCGTCCTGTCACAACTGCGGGTGCACACCTCTGTCAACTGTGATGTTGGTTTGTTCTGCTACATGCATTACAACTGTGCACCTACTGAGATTACAAGTAAGTGGTGGTTTCATTAAGCATTTGCTTTTTGCATCAATCTGTCTATGTGTTAAGGTTAAGAAAAGAACAACTAGCCAAAGGCAGTCGTAGAATACAAATACGGTGTTATGACTGAGCACTAAAAAGCAAGAACACTACATTTTAACCTTGCTATAATGAATGATTGTGCATATGACAAATATATTAGACTTCCGCAAATGTTCCAATGCTTCAAATATTCAGATGAGTTATTATTCGTATTGGACCTCTTCTTCGATCCGAATTTACATTGTTGAACATTTTAAGCATTCGCGTCGCATGTATAGCTTTGGTAAGGACGATTTCACTGCAGTTAAGAGATGCTAGGCCGTGAGAACCACGTGTATGTGTCCGTGTGTGTGCGTGTATAAAATATTTTGCACAGCTGCAAAGTCCCACTTCATCGTTCAATGAACATATTACCCTCACATCGATTCATCATTCTTGTATATCACCTTATGAGTGTTAAGTACAGTAAATTTTAAAACGAAACAAGTTGTCATTTGCTTTCTACCAAAAGTCAAATTGTGCCTCACAAGTTCAACTTCAAATGGTTTTCACTTCCTTTGAACCCACAGAGAATGACATTTGCTCAAGCCCTTGTTCCACATGACAAAAAAATACTGTGCAGTTTAGTGAGTCACGGACACATATGCATTTTTCTTTATAAATGTGATATAAATACTATTCGAATTTGACTTGAAGTTATTCGACCAAAATCACTATTCAGTTTTCATTCACTTTGAACCTAAAATTCACTATTTGCACAAGCCCACAAATGATCTGTTATAGTGAAGAAAATGAAAAACAGTCTTGCCATTATTTTTCAATGTCGCATTATTGTCCTGCCTTTTTTTTTTTTGCCTTGGAGCTGATTCAAGATATAACAAGGTCTGACAGTCATATATACTTCTGTGTGACTGTAAAAGGTGCCACTTAACCAATGGGCTCTACTTATATTGCTATTAACATCGCTTACAGCAACATTTCCGAACATTGTCTTCATCTTGGACATCAGGAAGCTCATCCTAACTGCTGTGCTAGTGCATCTTACCCCTGTTACCTGTAAGTCTTTTCAAGTTGATTTGCATTGAATTCTAAGGCTACTTGCGGTGTAAGTGATTTCATTGAAAGACGATGAACATCAGTGCAGCGGCTCAATTTTCAATTGGAGCTTTTTCTTGTGTGCATATTGCTATTTGTCAGGTTTGTTCCTTATGTAGAGATTAGTTTAGGTCAGTTCATCTTCACCCATCCTCAGCTTGTTCCTTACGTAAGGAGTTTTATGCAAGAACTTTTGACATCTAATGTTGCTTTTATGTTCTGTATTACAGTTTTTTTTTACTATGATGAGCAATCATAGCATCTGTACAGAGTGCCCACCTGCTATGGTCACAGCAGAGACTGGCAGTATTGCAAATAAATAAATAAATAAATAATGAAGAAAAATAGCGGCAAAGATAGTAGCCTCACGCCTAGATATTTGAAAGCATAATGTCATTTTGTGGTTGCCGTCCTGTCACAACTGCGGGTGCACACCTCTGTCAACTGTGATGTTGGTTTGTTCTGCTACATGCATTACAACTGTGCACCTACTGAGATTACAAGTAAGTGGTGGTTTCATTAAGCATTTGCTTTTTGCATCAATCTGTCTATGTGCTGAGCACAGTCGAAACGCAGGTGCAAAACATCTGTGTGTGAAACTGTCTACAGAGCGTACATGTGGTCTAAAAATAGGCCGTGCCTCCATCCGTGCATCGATGCCTTCGTCCTTCCGTGCGTCCGTGCATCCGTCCATGTGTGCGTCTGTCGGTCCATCCGTCTGTAGACTAGTCAGCAACTGCCACGTAGACATTACGGGCCTTAGAACCTAGCTTCCCTCGATCAGCAGCATCCATTTCGTAGACATGTGTGAATTTTTTCGCAACGCACCTTCATAAGAAACATCAAGAATGGTCTTCGCTTCGTTTGTAAGCGGCATGCAGCATCAAGTGTGGCACCTCCGCAACAGAGACTAGCAGCTCCTCCTGTGGGCACTACAACTGCAGGATCGGGACACACATTAGCCCATGAAAATGGTCCCCTCAAGCCAGTGCCTAATTTCTGCTTTACAAGCTGCTAAATTGCATGACGATTTAACTCAAACTAGGAAAACCAATATTTGTTTTGTTTTTTTGGCAGATAAAAAAATGAGACTATAAAAGATGCATACTGATAAAAAATAATACACTGTGCCAAAGTGTTTGTAACTTTTTTTAAGAATCCCAAGGTTTATTGAAGGAAGGGCGATTGCATATACGTAGAGAAAATCAAGGCCCAGCTTCTTTGTTTGAGAGTTCATTGTACATGTCACGATTCATGGTATAATTGTGTAGTACGACCACATGGAGTCTGTAGAATATTGGGGTTTTCTACACGTACTGAAGTTTAAAGGAAGAACATCATGCAGCATGATTTAGTTTTTATTGATTCTTCGATGCCACGTAGTCACTTGTTTTTAGTGGTAGAGCATTACTAGCCCTGACCAAACGCTCATACATTTAAATTATTTGGTTATGTGGTATTCATGTTAAACGCCCAACAAGGCATTTCCGCCCATGTTTGAGTCACCTTACTGCACATTGAGCTTGTCAGCCTTCAAAAAGACCAACCATTGTCTACTCCTGATTAACCAATTTAATTCGTTTGATAATATACATCTTGGACTTTGTTGAGAATCCAACATTTGTAAGATTTTGTCGTCAGCTTCGCAAATTGAGAATGGACGAAATTGTGGTGAATGTAATGAACTGCTGTTTGGGCCACGAGTACACACCTGCCACTTGTTGCAAAAGTTTCGAGTCTGCTAATTCTACACGATAACCACGAGAGCAGTGGGAGCTTATGCTGCTTGGCGCGTGCACGGATGACCAACTCTGGGCAGTCCAGCTGGCCTGAGACTCCGCCGAGTTCCAAGGTCTGACCGCCGCCTAAGGAAGGGGGGCACCGGTAGGGCTAGTCTCCCGGCCCCTGCCTCCCTTGACCCCAGCAAGAAGAAAATATAGTTTTGTCTCTCTCTATAATGGTAATTGTTGATGTGTTACATCCCTCAACAATAATACGATGACAGTGTAGTGGAGGGAAATTTCACTGGTCTTTGGGTTCTCTAGGGTGCACCTAAATCTAAGCACACAGGCTCAGTTCAGTTCAGTTCAGTTTATTACCTTAAAGGCCCCCCCCTTTCTAGGAGGGGCATTACATAAGGGGTGGGGTTTTATTTAGGTTAACAATAAGCAGTAAGAGTTGTTTTAGCATTGAAGATGATCAATAATACGGTCTTGAAAGGCAGATGATGAGGCGATGTTGGCGATGTCCCGGGGGAGGCCCTTCCAGTCCGTGGCTGCTCGAAAAAGAACGAGGCAGAAAAAGCAGTGGTGCGCGAAGATGGGCGGGAAACCTGAAATGGATATTTGTTTATCCAGGCCTCTAATGTTCAGCATCCAAAATGTGACTTTCGGGTCAGCAGTTGAGAACCGTAGCCACTAGACCACTGTGGCAAGTTCTGATAGACGTCTAAAGAGAATGCTAGTCTAGGTGAACAAATTGTGCCTCTGTCCATTGTCCATGCTCAAATTGCTCGCAGGTATTGCATGGGACCACCAATCGGACAAGCTTGCCATTTGCACCTATGCAAAGCACCTTTGTTTGTGGACACCCTCCAATGCAATCACGCTAGAGGTACCCTGCAAAGGTATGACCTCATCCATGATTTACAGACTCCAGAAAAAAAAAAGCATATAATTGAGCGAGGATAGATAATAGATAATAATATACATTCTTTAATTTTGGGTGCTAGTTATGATGTTCATAAAAGCGTCCGACTATATATATATATATATACACACATATAGATATTGTTGAGTTTGAACCCGCCGCGGTGGTCTAGTGGCTAAGGTACTCGGCTACTGACCCGCAGGTCGCGGGTTCGAATCCCGGCTGCGGCGGCTGCATTTTCGATGGAGGCGGAAATGTTGTAGGCCCGTGTGCTCAGATTTGGGTGCACGTTAAAGAACCCCAGGTGGTCGAAATTTCCGGAGCCCTCCACTACGGCGTCTCTTATAATCATATGGTGGTTTTGGGACGTTAAACCCCACATATCAATCAATTGTTGAGTTTGAAAGAGACTGGTAGACGTAGAAAGGGGAAAGTGGCCGTTTATTAGGTCGTGAGGGGCAGCTCAGAAGCGGCCGACTGGTTAAAGATCCTCCTGATCCTCTTCTTCCTCTCTCGCTCTGGGCGACAAGCGCGTTCACCTTCTTTGTCTTCGTACATGTACGCAACATTCCTCTCCGCACAGACGAAGGCCGCCGGACGAGTCAGTCGAGTTGTCGTGGCGTGTACAGTATCAGGCGGGCAACATGAACCACTTGAGTTTTGGCAGCTCGTCGACCACTCGCCGTGAGACGAGCTATTACATAGTTGACCTCTGTAAGTCTGTCGACAATGACAAAAGGTCCATCCTAAGGGGCCAAAAACTTTTGGAATAACCCGCGCTTGCGCATCAGAGTCCACAACCACACCAGATCACCACGGCGATAAATCACTGGTCGATGATGAATGTCATAGCGTGCCTTCGCTTTGTCTTGCGATGCCAATGTGTGTAGTCGGGCTATGCGACGCGCCTCTTCGGCGAGGCAGAGAGTCTCGGCGACAGTGACGTTGTCGTGGTCACCGAAAGGCAATATTGTGTCGATTGTGTGCCGAGGCGAACGTGCATAAAGCAAAAAGAAAGGGCTATAGCCTGTAATCTCGTGCTTCGCGGTGTTGAACGCGTAAGTAATGAACAGGAGTACGTCATCCCAGTTCTTGTGGTCGCATGAGACATACATAGACAACATGTTGATAATGGTGCGGTTGGTACGCTCCGTCAGCCCATTAGTTTGGGGGTGGTATGGTGTCGATTGATGCAGGCAGGATTCACATAAACGGAGTAGCTTCTCCACGATCACTGATAATCAGGCGAAGTGGGCCATGTCGGAGGATGACGTACTGTAACAAAAACGACGAGACTTCACTGGCAGTTGCGGAGGGGACGGCCGCCGTCTCGCAGTAGCGTGTGTGGTAGTCGACGCAAACAATTATCCATCGGTTGCCCATAGCCGATTTTGGGAAGGGGCCCAGAAAGTCAAAGCCCACTTGTTGGAAAGGTGCACTTGGAGTAGGCATCGGCTGCAGAAGACCAGCTGGACCAGTTCATGGACGTTTGTGACGCTGACATTGCATGCAGCTTGCCACATAACTCTCAACTGACTTCTGCATACCAGGCTAATAAAAGCGCTCTTTAGTCCGGTGAAGCGTCCGCACCAAACCTAAATGTCCAGATGTAGGGTCTTCGTGCATGGCACTCATAATAACTGTTCGCAGGCTCTCCGGGACCACTAGAAAGAAACGCGCGCCACTGTTGGAGAGGTTCCTTTTGAACAACAGTCTATCACGCATACTGAAACGGCGTGCACTAGTGGAAGCGGATGCAGTGGCGAATAGTGGTGCTAGTTTAGCGTCCTTCCGCTGTTCTGCTCTGAAACTGGGATAGTCTGGGAACGTAGGCGACACAGACGCTACAAGCTGGTCAAGGTCATCGGATTCACAGTCTGTTGTGCTAAGTGGCATACGTGAAAGACAATCCGCGTCAGCATGTCGACGACCACTCTTGTAAGCGACGGCAAAACTGTATTCTTGTAGCCGGAGTGCCCAGCGCGCAAGGCGGCCACAAGGGTCACGAAGGTTGACAAGCCTACACAACGAGTGGTGGTCGGTTATGACTGTGAATGGGCGTCCGTACAGGTAAGACCTAGACCGCTGAATTGCAAATAATACCGCCAGGCATTCTTGTTCCGTAACAGTGTAGTTTTGTTACGGCCTGCTTAGGGAGCGACTTGGGTATGCGATGACGTGTTCGCGGTCGCCGTAACGTTGTACTAGGACGTCTCCAATACCTATGCCGCTAGCATCCGTATGAAGCTCTGTCGGAGCAGAAGGACTGAAGTGCTAAAGGACGGGTCGTGATGTCAGCAAAAACTTCAATTGACGGAATGAAGAATCGCACTCCGGAGTCCACTCAAAGGAATTGTCCTTTCGTAAGAGGCATGTGAGAGGATACGCAACGTCGGCAAACTTCGGAATAAAGCGGCGGAAGTATGAACAAAGCCCCAGGAAACTACGAAGCTCCTTGACGAAAAGGGGCGCATTGAACGCCTCAACTGCTGCTGTCTTCTGGGGGTCAGGGCGGATGCCATCCTTGTCAACGAGATGCCCGAGCACAAGCGTCTGGCGGTCTCCGAAGCGGCATTTCTTCGAGTTTAAAATTAGGCCAGCATTTCGGATGCAGTTCAAAACAGTATCCAGACGAGAGTTGTGTTCACTGAACGTGCGGCCAAAGATGACGACGTCGTCAAGGTAGCACATGCAGATGTTCCACTTCAAGCCACGCAGAATGGTGTCCATAAACCTCTCTAACGTTGCCGGTGCATTGCAAAATCCAAATGGCATCACGTTGAATTCAAAGAGCCCATTAGGGGTTACAAAGGCAGTCTTTTCCTTGTCCTCTGGGTGCATCGGAATTTGCCAATAACCAGATCATAAGTCTACGGAGGAAAAATAAGAGGCGGAATGTAAGCAGTCTATTGCGTCCTCTATACGGGGCAGCGGGTATACGTCCTTTTTAGTCAAGGCATTCAGTCGGCGATAGTCGACGCAAAGTCTCCAAGATCCATCTTTCTTCTTAACAAGGATTACCGGTGCTGCCCACGGACTGGCTGACTCTTGTACCACTCCCTTTTGCATCATTTCCTGCACTTGGTGGTTGATAATTTGTCTTTCTGACGGGGAAACACGATATTGTTTTTTGGCGAATCGGACTTGCCGCGCCAGTGTTGATGGTATGGCGCGTTCGAGACAGGGGGATAGGGATTACTTTGCCCTTCTGCGCAAAGTCGAATACCGAAACGTGCTTCAACAGCACATTCAATAAAGTTCGGCGCTCGTTTGAGCTAAGCGACTTATTTATCGTTGCCATAAGTGCCCCGTCCAAATTGTGACAACCAGTTCCGTCACGTTCTTCCGGCACGTCTGTGAGCTCGACCACTGATAAGGTCGCGTGTTCTTTGCTGACCGAAGCTAATTTCAAACCATTGGGTAGTGTCACAAGCTCAGAGGAACAGTTTACAGTCCATAGGCCAGTTCGTCCGCCATCAATCGACACCACACAATGGGGAACCAACACATTCTTCTTCACGCAGTTTATGTGCATTGGTTCTATGCTCGCATCGAAGCTATCAGAATCCGCGCCGCGACAAACAACAGGAACACGTACGGTAGACAACGCAGGTATGAACGTATCGCCACAGACACACAGCGTAGTTTGGTCATTCGCTGGAGTTTCCAGAAGTTCTGAAGGCATCTGGCCACTCACAAAGACTTTCCCCGTGCGACAGTCTACAGTGCCACCACATTCTCGCAAGAAGTCCATGCCGAGAATGACATCATGTGTCAACCGAGGAATAATCGCAAACTCTGTCGTTATCATAAGGCCTCCCAAAAATACCTCAGCACTACACACACCAATAGGGCGCAATGGCTCTCCACTCACTCCACAGAACGTCGAAGTTTTATCCAAGGTAAAAACGACTTTCCGCCCTAACACGTCTTTAAAGGAAGCACTCATCACGGAAATCGTTGCACCTGTGTCCACCAAGGCCATCACAGGCACATGATCCACCAAAACACGCACTTTGTTTTTAAACATACACACAGGAGGTATTTCTCTCAGTAGCACGTTTCCAGCGACCTCACCCCCATTGGCCGCGCTGGCTAGTTTTCCGGTGTCGAAGAGAGCGCTTTGCGACGCAGCGGTGAAGGAGAACGATGAGCACGAGGTCCCGGTGGGGGCGTTAAACTCCTGTCAGATGCCGGTGAGTGGTTGCGGAAGTTGCTGGGCCAATAGTTGTCATCAGGTGGTATGTGGGCCGGCCGCCGGACACCATGAGGCTGTTCGAAGGGTCGTGAAAAGTCGGATGGTTGGTGATACCGAGGAGTCACCCGACGGTTGCAAAATCGCGATATGTGGCCTGGCACACCGCAGGATTAGCACACCGGCCGAGGTCGAAACGTCGGTCGCTCGTCGATGAATAGAGCGTCATCATTTGCTCTTGTGTGACGGATGTACTGGTCGGGTGTGTCGTACCGAGACGTCGGGTGTCGTGGAGGCATGCGCTGAGAGCGCCGGTCATACCGCGACGCGGGAAATCTGGTTGTCATTCTTGACTGTGGAGCTGAGCTGTACTCCACAGTTGCCGCGCTCATCGTCGGTTGCCATGGGGTTAAAGGAGGCACATCCATAGCCTCACATGGCAGACACAACTGGCAATGGTCAGCTGTCGAACACGACATTTCTCGGTGGGACAGTTCCTCACGAACAATCTGTCGAATGGTAGAAAAAAAAGGTCTAGGCCAGGATTCGTGTCCACACTGGCAACAGTTGTAACGTTAGCCAGCCGACCAAACTTGGGCGCAATTCGACGCATCTTGAGCGTTTCAAACGTTCGGCAATACTGGATGACGTCGGACACAGAACAGAGGCTTTCTTTTCCAATTAGAAAATTATACACGTCCTCAGCAATCCCTTTGAGCAGATGCCCAACTTTGTCCTCTTCCGACATGGTAGCACAGACCACCTTGCACAGCCTTAACACTTCTTCTATGTAAGTGGTGCATGTCTCACCTGGTAGCTGTGCCCGTTGCGACAGTGTTTGCTCAGCCCGCTTCTTTCTAGCAACCGAGTCGCTGAAACACGCCCTGAGCTCTTCAACAAAAAGATCCCACGCTGTGAGTGCGTCCTCGTGGTTCTCGTACCATACCAGTGCTGTGTCGGTCAGGGAGAACACTACGTTGGCTAGCATAGCGGCTGCATCCCAACAGTTGGACTTGCCCACACGTTTGTACTTGGTGAGCCAGGCGTTGACATCTTCTTCGGCTTTTCCTCCGAAGGGCGGTGGAACTCGGTAGTACGGAAGCGGGCCAGATGGTGTGTCCTGGAAACGCCTGCTTCTTCGGGCATGTCGAAGTCACTCACGGCAAATGGTGGGAGACCGGCAAGTCGACGGCTTCGTCGAAGCTGTGGCAGTGATCGTTCCGTAGTTGAAGTGCTTACCCAGCTCCTCCACCACTCTGTTACGTTTGAAAGAAACTGGTAGACGTTGAAAGGGGCCGTTTATTAGGTCGTGAGGGGCAGCTCAGAAGCGGCCCACTGGTTAAAGATCCTCCTGATCTTCTTCTTCCTTTCTCGCTCTGGGCGACAAGCGCATTCACCTTCTTTGTCTTCGTGCATGTACGCAACTATATGTGTGTGTGTGTGTGTGTGTGTGTGCGTGCTTCATAATTCCGTAATCTAGCTTCAAGGCTCTTCTGTAGGCTGTGCAACATGCCAGTTCATTGACTTTTATATGCGATTTAGAAATACAAATCCTACTCAGCTCGTGAAAAGGATGTTTGATCTGTCACAACAATTCTCAGCCTTTTCATTTCCACCAGGATCTCATCGCACATTCTGGCCAGTTGTTTGTCCCTTTCCCTACATTTGGGTGCACGTTAAAGAACCCCAGGTGGTCAAAATTTCCGGAGCCCTCCACTACGGCGTCTCTCATAATCATATCGTGGTTTTGGGACGTTAAACCCCACAAATCAATCCCTTTCCCTACAGTAAAAAAAAATTGCACCAAATTTACTGAAAATTTTTTTTTTGGCTCAGTGTGTAGTTTTTTTTTTTCTGAATAAATCGGCATCATTCCTTCACTTCATTGGGCACCTTTTGTATCACTATGTACGTTAAAAATACAAGATAAATCATAACTGAAACTTGGCTTTACTACATGGCAAATACAATAAAATATGGCTACAATATGAAAGCCAGGACACAAATGGCACATCGACAAGTTTTGGCCATCTAGCATTAAGCAACACAACTATAGCAGAAGTGTATTCGTCATTGGTTCCAGGGACCAAATTTTGTTGATTGCAAGGGAGTCATCATGGGTATTTTGGTACAAAGTCTCATGACTACTATAGTAGTCATTATCGGGAAGAAAGTGGCTGAGAAAATTGCTTGCACTACACGACACTTTTGTATGGCTTTATTTCCAAAACAGTTTCAAGCACAGGCATGGATGGTTATGTGGTAGGATACCTGCATGCCATGCTAAAGGTCTGGGTTCATTTATAGTGCCTAGAATGTGTACGCATGTTCTAGGCACTATAATTCTGCACACACTCTGGCCAAAGATTTTCATTTAATTGCATCCACCTCAAATTTTTGCTCACAGGTGCCAATTTTTCACTCTGAACGAATGACATTGACACCAGAATTCCTGCAAAACGATCTCTTTAATGCCATTGCAGTTAAAATGATGAATGCGAGTCTTGGATATTATTGTCTTGTCACTATGGGGATAGTTCTACTGTCAGTTGATTCACTAAAGCAATGGAACACCTGGCATATATCAGTGATAGTTCATTGATGCAATGCATGAAATTACTGTTACTACTATGCTGACACGAATGACCTGTTTGAAGGTTGCAGGAGAAAACTTCACCCTACCAAGAACAATTATATTTACTACTGCTACTAGACGAGTACAACGAACCATGCTGTCTTCATTTATCATAGCACCAGCCATTACAAGTTTCTGAAATTACTAAAGCGAACTTTGGCAGCAGCCATTACTTAGGACACCTCGGGAACGATTTAGGGTAGTGATAAGTTTTATGCATGAGTATAGCTCTTGTGGCTATATTCATGATTTATTGGCCTAGATTTATACAGTAGAACACCTGTTGTAAATCTTTCATACACAGCTGACTCTTAGTGTACGAGTGTTTTTTAAATGCAATAACTGCTTAAAACTGCCTTTCATATGATAAGCTAGCTTGCATTCTGCACCCCTCTTCAGCTCAGTGAAGAAAACTCTCATTACATTGAACATACAATATTTTCTTGGTCCCATCGTTTTCAGTTTAACAAGTGTCTACTGAACATTTCTGCCACTTCGGTGACAGCAAAGAATCTGTGGAGCCCAGTTTTTTAGAACCTCCTATCCACCCGACATTCCAACCAAATATGTGACCAACTGTCGCTGAGCTGGATGTGCCGCGAAAGTTTGGCACAATAATTTTGGCGATGAGAACAAGTGCTCAAAGAGGGTCTGGTTCTGGCAGAGGCACCAAACAAAAGGCTTCCATCAAAGACACCTTAAAGCCATAAACTCTTGAATAAGTTCGAAGGTAGAGCTTCGAGCAAAGAATCTGTTCTTGTTGTAGGTTTCCCAACCACGGCAGGGTTTTTTTTCCGAGCTTGTGTGAGAAATGTATTTCAGGAGTTTCAATATATAATGCCATCATTTGTTCAAGTTCTGTTTTCCCTTTTTTTCATTTCAGGGCCTTTTCACATAAAGCGTTGCCAGTGGAATCCCAGACGGAAAAGCCTCATAGTCCATGGACAAGATGCAGTTGTACTTTGCAGCCTGAGTCACTTGGACTGAGTGCAAAAACCCACGAATGGCACGATTCACTCGCAAGCAAAGGAAGACACGACAGTGCGTTTTATATGAATATAAGCCTTTTATTGTAACATCTGTGATTTTTTTTTCTTCTTAATATGCACCTTTCCGCTTCTTTTAATGTACACATCTCCTATTCCATTTTTGCTTAGCAGCGCAAGAACAGGAAGAAGACCACTTATACACCAGCCACCAAAAAAGTGTTAGGCTCAACAAGTAGTCCATTAACAAAACACAAAAGCATCGCTGCGTGCCTTGTGGCAGAATCACGATTTGCGTCAAAAAGAAGTAATAGGGGATGGGGGGAAGGTCCCCCGCAAAACACATCCGCTCGCGCAACCCCTGGTGACCAAACTTCCAACAACGCGCGCATTTCATACTACCGAGTGCCTCGAGAGATGACTACAAATGGCAGGAAAAAAAAGATAGCATAGCAGGTTCCGCATAGGCAATCAACAATAAATTACGTAAGTGCTCAGGTCATAAACGTAAGGCTGCGGAAGAGGATTGATTGCGCTGGCCGCAGGAGTTCGACGAGGGGGGCAAACGAGGAGCTTGACTACAATAAACTGGACCTAGTAACAAAGTGTTGCGGTTAAGTGCAGTCTAAGGTGTTTGCATGTAGTGGCACTTGCATTCGATGGCGCCCGCAACTTCAGTGTTCAACAACTTTTTAATTAACCATCGCTCCTTCCATGCCCGACGTAATACTACTAGTAACTAGAAAACAGACATCACTGAGTGCGTGTGTGTGTGTTACCGATATTAAAGAAAAGAAACACACTCAAAATAAGCATCCATTGGTAAACAAATGTGCTCTAGCGACAATAAGTCAACAGCTACAGCAGAGAATGGCCTTTCGACTACATCCTAAAGCTAATCCCTCCTCCAGTGAATCAAAATGTACCGAAAAAGTCAACGAAAAAGGAGACATGCCCTTTTTAAAATGTAAACTGGACCATTCGCAAAACTGCGTTCGAAAAAAAGTAGCGACGACAGTTTCGTTAAAACTTATTCTGAAAGAACAAAAAAAAGATAACATTGTAAAGAAAGTGCTGCAGCACATTTGAAACATTTCTCCATGCGAGTCAGTTTCGTATTACGCTGTTTTACGTGACAGCCCTACAAATGGGCTCATCATAGATTAGTCTTGTATCGTAGATTCATGAGGGGCAAGGGAGAGATACAGTGGCAGTACACCAAAGCCGAAACGAGGATAAAAAAAAAAATTTTCTAGCCTTGTCTAGTGTGTGTGCGCATGTGGTTTTGCTCGCTCGGCCGAGTCTCACAAACAACGGCATCCTCGTAATACCACCCGAGCAGGAGAAACAAGGCAGTGCATCGCCGCGATCTGCTCGTGCCACATGACGCTGTCCCCTCACACGACCTCTCTCTCCCCTCCCACCTCCAAAGTGTCACAGTCTTGTCCCTCTCGCTCTCTCCTTTCCCCCCTATTTGTTGATGCATGTAATTCATGGGTGCAGGTGAAAAACATTGTCTGTGTGATGACTGCCGACACCGCGGGGTGCGGGGAAAAAATACACCGCTGCCGGGTGTGCACGCGCCTTTCGTCGATGATGTGGCGGCCGTGGCAGCTGGACTCTCTCTTTTCGGCGCAAGTGACAGCCGCGGCAACGTCTTGCAGGCGAGTGTCATTGTGCGTTGCCTGCAGTCATTAGCTGTCCTGCTTGGCCTGACGGTTCCGTAGTGCCTGGGCAAGGTCGTTCCTGAGGGCGTCCTGTTGCTTCCGGTCCTGCAGCGGCTGCAGGGAGCGCAGGCCGTTGACGATGTCCTTCGTTTTGCCAAAGTAGATCTCGTTCAGCGTCGTCCTGATCTTGTTCTCCATGTCCTGGCAGGGTAAAAAAATAAAGCAGCGAGACAATGATTCCCATCCAAGTAAACTTTAAAGGGCCCTGAACAACCTTTGAAAAGGTAAAGAACGTGCCTGTTTTTCACTCCCGACATTTCCACTCTTTAAGGTGTGATTAGTGACACCTGCGGTCTGTTAACGTAACGTCACAAAGAAATAAGCTCTCGATTGGTCCATATACAAGTTGCGCATCAGTTGTGCATACTCTCCTACCCTGCTCTGCTACGCAGTCACTTGTCTGTTCTGCCTTGCTTCACATGAATATTGTGCACGGTCATCCGATTTGGCATCGTTGTGTGCTTTTTCAAATGCACAAGTAGAGATGACAGTGAATAGCCGAAAAGCACAAAATTCTGAAAGGCTCAGTGCTTAGTGCTGACATCATCCGCGAGTTTCATGAAGAAATAAGTGGTAAGGAGGAGGCAGGGCCTGCAGGAAGGTAACTACTCTCTCTTCCTTGAACTCGAGATGGTTTATGAACTCTCTAAAATCATACTTATGCACATGTGTAAGTTGCACAGATCTGAATAAACACTACGAAGAGAAAATAACTTCATTAAAGAAAAACAAATGGCAAGATGTGGAAGAATTGTCTCCTTCCCCTAGGTGGCGACCAAGAGTCCTTGCGCTCTGGCAGCATCTTCGGCTTGCCGAAGGACTTCCAAGTTGCACTTCTGGGTCTGCGCTTAGCAGTGCGGTTCGCCCACTGCTCTCCATTACTGTACTTTTTTTTTTATTTTGTGCTGTCACTGAGGGGCAAGCACACAGTATATGATTAACGTCCGCCTTTTGATTACAGAACTTACACAAATCTTAGTATATCGCTGGGTAGATCTGGTGATAAGTTACCGGGTTCAGAAAAGTGTTGGTTTGTAAGAGGTGCCATGCTGTCGCCTGCTGCTTGTTTAGCGAGGTATGTGCCGGGGGAAGCGGGCCTTTCCTAGCCTGCAGTATCTTGTGATCTCTTCATAACTAACCATGCAATCCTTCTCTGTCCCCGGACTTCACGCTGTGCCTGTTCGGCTGGCCAGTTCCCCAGCCAGGTCATGCGCGATTTCGTTCCCGGGGAGGAAGGAGTGAGCAGGTGCCCATATAATATGAACTACCCGCTTGTCGCAAAAGTTAGCAAGAATTCCCTTGACACCCTTCCCTTGGCAGAATACTACGAAAAAAACAAAATTACTGACGATGATAATACTGCTTATTACGAAATTTTTCAGTGCAGCTCTATGTGTATCGTCCAAGATACCATACAATATAGTTTACCAAAGGCATGATGTGCCAGCTTTTCTCTGTGGTTTACTTTTACAGTTAAACCAGGGTATAACAAGATTGACGAATTCCTGGAAAAATTCGTTATAAAAATAATTAAGTTATACACAGGTTTAGTACGAAAATTGAAAAAATGCACAAATTAAACATAAGGGGAACTGAAGGCAGAGCTAACCCAGAACACTTATTTAGCCGTAAAAAAACTGCATTACTACTGCGTTAGCAAAGACATGGACACTCTCAGCGGGTTTTTGCAGTTGCCACCACGTTCCCCAACAAGTCCCCCCCCCCCCCCCGCATCGGAACTTTTACTAGCGAGTAAAAAAGCGCAAGCGCTGTTGAAGTAGGGATTAAATCTGTAGCCCTCATTTAGGCAGAGAATAGCAACAACAATAAAAAAAGACTGATGTCTCACAGGCAGCATTTTTTCATCCCATTGTTCGCTTGATGTTCTTTTCTAGCGAGAAGAAAAGGGGGAGTGGTCGCAATACAACCTACCTCAACCATCTTTCCAATGTTGGCAATGTGAGGAACTGCTTCACTGACTGGACTGTCTTGCTCCATCTGCAATGAAAAGTGGGAGGCAGATTAGGGCCATGCATCAACAATGTGCAGTATGCAGTAACCTACGTATACATATAGTAAACAAGGTAGCCGAAAGAAAAGCATGATCTTATTAACCAGAACCTCAAGAGACCAGCAAAATAGTATTATCCATTCAACAAGAGTTCCATTTACTGAGAGATGAACATGAACACAGAATAGAAGTACGAAACCAATCCTGTCAGAAGCACTTGTTCCATTTAAGCAGCAGTTGCGTTCAATTAGAAGATGTCCGTTTACTGAAGGTCTACTGTACAAGATGTCAACAGATGAGCCGTAGTGTTTACATTTTCCCAAACGCTTAAAAACAATTATAAACAGGGCCCACTTATAATAATCCCAGATATAACTGAGTTATCACCTGTAATGACCATAATTTGGTGCACTTAATTTTTCTTGTGCTACCCATTGAAACTGCACCCACATACAGGGAACATTGTTCAAAGCCTCCTAATTTTACAACATACACTTCAAAACTGCACCCACATACAGGGAACATTGTTCAAAGCCTCCTAATTTTACAACATACACTTCACACATGGTCATGGTAAAATACGACACATATGAAGCAATAAGTAAGTTAAAACAGGCTTTCTAAAGCGCGGGTGACCACTGACGAAGATATCCTAGATCCGCGAGCACTGCACGCAAATTTCGGACGCTGCGAGCGGTATGGCTCACTTTTCAGTTGTTTCTTCAATGGCAGAATGGCAGTGAAGAAAGACATAATACGAGGCAGCATAAAGCCCCGCTATCACCTTGTGCATGGCAACATTTTCTGATGCCGCTGCATGCAGCTACAACTGCCCAAAACAAACCAATAAGCAATAACTGCAATGACTTTTCTTACCATGTATATTCACCGAGCCTATCAATTTGTCGACAGCCACCACGCATCATAAAAAATCTTTCATTTTTCAGTGATGCAGAGACCGGTCGACCAATGATTACGATTTCCGCACGATTGTGGCAATGCCTTCACGAATAAGTATCCGGGAAGAGCGAAGGCAAGAAGGCAGCCTGTGATGAACATGCCATTATGACTTAGCACTAACAACCTTATTACAGTCATCAGCTGCTACCTGCTCAGTTGGGCTTCAAGCATAAACTGATTGACTTGACAGCGTTACAAGCGCGCCACGCTGCCATTCGCAACTTCGCCACCGCGTATTTGAGACCATTTTGAAGTGCGCGTCGCTTTGTCGAAGAGAAAGAAGCTCGCTGGTGTTGAACAGTGTGGGCACATGGGAAAGGCGGATGCACTGATGAAGAGCGTATGCTGCACGTGCTATCAGGCGACAACACAGGCATGCTGTGCCTCATCATTTAGGACCGATAGAGCACTACAGAGATGTACAGCATGTTGCTTGCAAAAAAAAAAAAGCTTGCTTTCGCCACATGCAACGCACAATCCAGAGTGAAACAGGCACGTAGAATGCACAAATGAAGCATACACTACACATCAAGTGACCCGCAATGGCGGAGTAAGCCAGAAAGGCGACATGCTGCATGCAAGAAGACGGTGACCATTGGTTCGATGTGGCAGTATCGCATTTCACTGAAATGCTGTCAATTCGTTGCAAAATCAATTCAACTCCCTTTCCAGCACCCATCAGGCGCCGCTTCACGACATACGCGAATACTAGGGGTTGTTGGCACTCTCTAACAAGAATGGGCATTTAAAAAAGACAGCTTCGTCGCTAAGTGCACAAATGATAAAAACGGGTTGCACGAAAAAATAAATGGGGGATGACAGATTGTTGTGAGAAAACTAATACATCGGATGGGATACATTGACAGACACTAGTGATAACGATCGCAAAGCTGCCAATTTTTCAGATATAATTAAGTTCGAACGCTCCTATGAAACTGCTACAAGGCCAATAGGGCCAATGACAACGTATGAAGTTTCGGACACTGAAACTCCTCCAAGTGTCAACTTTAGCTCAAATTTTATGCCCGAAAGTGAACGAACGGAAGCCACCGCTGCTGCCACAACAAAGCGGATTTTAAAAGTTAGCTGTGCAAAATGCCACAATGCTAAGTGGTGAAGCATACTGCGAATCCAAACAGGCACTGGGGGATGTGGTTGTTGCTGGGATTTCAGGAGCTTGAGTTTTTTGTTTTCTTCTTCCTTTTTCGAGGATTTTCCGTTCTATTACCTCTCGGCCCAGACACCCAACAGCCAGAATTGATTCTTATGACTGATCATGTGGCACACGGAATTCCTGTAAACGCCTTATTTCACCGTAGAAAACACAAAAGTTGACAGGGCGGCAGCTTCTCGTTATAACCAATATATTGTTTAAACTGATATCGTTATAAGTGAATTCTACTATACAATCAACTGATATAACAACCACTTTTCACAGCTCGACTGTGCAGCAATACGTCATACTCTAAAAGCGAAAGCTACACATTCTTCAGACGTTGGCCAACTTCCTATATTCTTGCATCTCATCAGAGATGGCGGGGTTGCTGCGACCCATTCGCAAGAATCGCCACAGTGGACGTCAAAAAGAGTCGATCATGCATGTGCACTCCTGGTACCACACCACTCTTCCATTATCCTGGCAGCGATGTCATCATAGCAGGGCGGGATACAGGACAATGTTCAATAATCCGCGAAAAAACACCAAATGCATCATCAACGAAAGCTGTTGCACGCGTTGAGTGAGAAAGCCCAAATAAAAAAACGGCTGGCTTTCCCATAATTATGTATGAATTAAATATCTACCGGCAAAGCACACAGTCTCGAGATTACCACTGGTACAGTTTTGCGCATGTTCGCAAGGGCGCACTTCACCAAACTACACTGTGCACTCGCCCGTATAGACACCATTGTGTGCTGTCACAGGGCAAAATATATGGTGGGCACTGCCAAGTGGACGTAGACGATGACGCCTCAGCTCAACAACAAGCTGGTATTCCCCACGCAGTTTAGGGCAATCTTTCAAAGAATACAGCAACTGCACCACAAAGCCGCTGTCTCCGCAATTACCTCTGGTGGCGAGCCCATCACTGGCATCCAAATGAGCGCAGGCTCGACATTGGCATGTGAAAGGGAAACTGTATAGTGTAGCTGCCTTTGAAATGTGGCTACTGTGATTGGCAAATAAGATTTCGGTGTAAAAAATCATAATTAAAGCAGCATAGATTTAGCACAACTAAAGGTTCAGTAATAATTTTGATAGTAGTGGCGCAGAAGAACCCAAATGGCTGTCAGTAATGCGAGTGGGCGAACCCCATTGATCTTATCTGCTCGTAGCTCCTGAACACTTACCTGTCTTGTGAGACTGCCACCAAGGTTCATGGTTCCTGAACCAGGTTTTTTCGTCTGCAGCCAAAGCATAGCCGTTGACGTCAGCTTGTAGTGCGCATTCCGGCCACTTGATTTCTCCTGAAAGAGAATGAGACTGACAAAGCTTAGCTCGACAAAAAGAGAAAAAAAAGCACTAAGAACAGAAAAACATTGAAGAAGAATGCTAACAAGCACTTCATTGATGAGTAGATGTGATAAAATTCAATTGTGGCATTTGATACGTCAAGCCACCACATGATGATGAGGCACGTCTCTGTGAGAGGACTCTGGTTTAATGCGCCCAATGTTCTTTAAGTTACACCAAGGTACAGTAAAGTTTTTGCATTTCAGCCCGATGTAAATGCAACTGCGGTGGCAGAGAATCAAACTTGTGCCCTCAAGCTTAGGACTGGAACACCTGTTGTGATGCGGTGACAAAATATGGTAACCTAACATGAATAGCAAAGATAAAGAATCTATAAAAAATTTTGAATGGCTCTACAATAAAACTTGCAACGAATGATTCTTCACATTTGGCAAAAGTAGCTGTGTTCCAGTGCACGACCTTAAGTATAATGTAATCTTATAAAGAAATGAATAAAAGATTTTTAGCTGTTGTTACACACAACCTTAATGAGAACCAACAGACAAGCAACGTATAAGGGACATTCTGAGTAGTTTTTTTAGCGGTGTTATACAGTACAGTAAAAGCTCGTTAATTCGACACCCGTTAATTCGAAAATTCGGATAATTCGGACGGCTCTATTGGTCCCGGCCAAAGTGCATGTTAATCTATGGGACCAAACCTTCGTTATTTCGTCGGAATACGGCTCCGCACCGCTTAATTCGGACAAATGCTGACGGCTGCTGCTACACAAAAGTATGATAAAGCAGCGCTGGCACCACTGGAGTGAAATCGAAACCTGAGTGGCATCGCCATCATCATCAACTAGTGGGGGCGATCGCAGCGTCACCGAATGTCGACGTCTTCTTTCTTCTCCACTCAGCGCCTCTGACGCCATTTTCCCTTGTGTTGTCGTGTCGGAACCATCTCTTCTTGCGGAGTTCTCGTTTTCTTCCATTGTGACCATATTTGCATGCCACCACCATCGTGCGCTACAGTGATGGCAACGCCGAAAAAGCGGCAGAACTACGACGCGAAGAACTTGGCAACTAAAGTGGAAATTTTGGAAGCACTGAAGAACGGAAAATCGCGACAGCAGGTTATGACCAAGTGCAACGTGAAGCGGAGCACGTTGAGAACGTACGTGAAAAATGAACAACAGATTCGACAAGCCTTTGAAAGCGAGAAGTTTCATGCCTCTAGAAAGCGGTTGCGAACCGCTGCTCATCCCCAGCTCGAAGAAGCTTTGCTCCGGTGGATTACTGACTGTCGCAACGCGCATCTGCCTTTGAGCGGACCTCTCATCATGGGCGAGAAGTACGCTGCAATGATGAACATTGAATCGTTCAAAGCGTCAGAAGGGTGGTTTGCGAGGTTTCGAGAGAGACACGAACTTGTCTTCAGGAGTGTGTGCGGCGAAAAGGCCAGTGTTGACGAAAGCGTGACCACCGAGAGGAGAAATGTGAAGCTGCTGGAGCACATCGCCGCATATGAACCACGTCACGTGTTCAATGCAGATGAAACTGCTCTAGTTTTCAGAGCTCTGCCCGACAAGATGGTGACTTTCAAAGGGTACGCGTGCATTGGTGGCAAGAAGTGCAAGCAAAGGATAACTGTGCTTCTTGCCGCCAATATGACTGGCACGGAGCGCTTGCCACTACTTGTCGTCGGGAAGGCGCTTAAGCCACGTTGTTTTAAGAACGTCAAAAGACTTCCTGTCGAGTACACAGCGAACAGGAAGGCATGGATGACATCGGACATTTTTCGCGGCTGGCTGCAGCAGTTGGACCGGCACTTCACATCGAAGGACCGCAAGATAATTATGGTTGTTGACAACTGCAGTGCCCATAACTGTACAGTCGAACTGAAGAGCATCAAAGTAGTTTTTTTGCCGCCCAACACTACGTCTCCTCTTCAGCCGATGGACCAGGGTATCATTCACTACGAGAAGTTGAAGTACCGCAAGCACCTGCTAGAGCGAATGATCCTATGCTCAGAAGCTGGAAAGTTGTATCAAGTGGACTTACTCGGCGCAGTGCACATCATCGCCCACGTGTGGAAAAACTACTCCGCCGCAAGTCATCGCTAACTGTTTTCGGCACAGCGGTTATGTGAGGCCCGAGCATGCAGCAGTAGCTGACGATGGCATCAAGGAGGTGTCAGCAGAGTCCACCGACGATGACTGCCCGACTTTCTATGCTGTCCTTCCCACAGATGTGACCTTTCAGGACTACATCGCGATTGATCATGGTGTCGCCACGAGTGGTCTCCTGACCGATCAAGAGATTATTAATGATGTCACGGGCGCCCGATGAAGACCACGATTCCGACGAAGAATCATGCAAGGAGATACAGCCGCGACCTCATCGCACCTCACGGGAAGTCTCGGAGGCGCTCGTAATATTAGAGGACGCTTGCCTGAACGCTCCCGACAGCTTGCGTGCTGTTGGCCATTTGGAACAGTTAAGAAAAATTGTGATGTCAGCCGGAATCTGCGCGAAAACGCATGACGACAATTACAAAATACTTCAACAAATAAAGGTATGCTTCTGAAGCTTGATTTTAAATGTTGCTTTCCCTGTTAATTCGTTAATTTGGCATTCGGTTAATTCGGACAGTTTTTCCGGTCCCGTCAAATCCAAATTAACAAGCTTTTACTGTATAACCTCGCTAAAACGGATCTGCTTACAAGATACATTCCGATACTACATACCAATTTGCGGCTTTATGTTGATCTCCCTATTTGTAGCATTCATCGAGATTCGTTTACAACGGATTCGGGTACAACCATAGAGTTTCTCACAAATACCCAGAGGGAAGTGTGGTGCCACAGTCTACGCGAATTTCTTAAGGGGGGACGCGGGGATCAAATCGCGAAATTCTCGCAAAAAAACGAATTTTGGATAAGGGCAGATTTGGATTCTGCATCACCATTTCTATCATATCTAAAAATATTTCCGCCGAAAACGATCTCAAAGTAAGCTTAAAAAATGTTTTTCTGACCGCGGATCGCAAAAAGCTGGCTGAAATCTGCGCGAAAATGGCCCATTTCCGAGCGCGATACTTCCGCGCCTTCGCCGCCGCTCGCGGAAAGCTTGGTGTCACTGGAAAGCTTGCTTCACCGCCGTACTTTCTCCCGGTGAAACCAAGACTCTACGAGCTAAGATAAATGCACAAACAGAAAAAATGCGAAGGCATCCGCGACGCCTTAGACGCGCACCCATTGGTCGTCCTGTCACGTGGTACTGAGCGCGCTCTGTGAGTGGCTGCTGGGACGCGCTTGCTTGCGCTGGTCGTCTGCTCCGCGCACGCACGTCTGCTACGCAACACGCTGGCGCACTATAGTTTGCGAATCCCTGCCGATACGGCCCGATACGGTCGCCGATACGCCAACTCTTCTCTAGCGCGAGGCTTAGCGCCCGCAATGGATCGTCGCGTGGACCGGCAGCGCAGGCCGAAGTACCGGACGAAGTACGCTTACGGGAAGCGTAAACGCAAGCCTCCTGTTGGGAACGAAGCAGTCGGAAGCGCACCGTTCAAATACACCTGGAACCTCGTTTCGTGTCCTCGGAAGGCGCCGAGAAGCAAGCCAGCAGTGTCCGCGATGCACTTCGCGAGGTGTCGGCAACGGAGCGGAAGTTCGGGTTCGCGCAGCAAACGGAGCAAACATCGGCAACAAAAGAGGATGAGTTCACCCTAATTCAGGTTTCTGCCATGAATTCCCTAATAGGACCTGCACTCTGCCCAAAATGTTGTAAGAAGACTTTGTCAGTGCAGCATGGGACAAAATTGGGCCTGGCAGTAAAACTGGTACTTTTGTGTGCTTCCTGTGGCCCTATTCATTCACCTTGGTCATCCAGTAGAAAATCCGAAGGAAGGGCTTTTGAAGTCAACCTAAGAGCCATGCAAGCAATCAAGTCCATTGGAAAAGGGCCCACTGCCCTGAATGACTTCTGGGCTACAATGAATGTCTCTCATCGGGGCATTCATCAAAAAACCTATCAGGAACACCTAAAAAAAACATTCAAACCAGGAGCAGAGGAAGCTGCACAAAACATCTTTGCAGATGCTGTGCTTGCGGTAAAAGACGTGTACAGTAAGATGCAGCCATCAAGCCCAAACAACATCACAGTTGTGTATGACGGCACGTGGCTTACAAGAGGCCACAGCTCACACATTGGGGTAGGATGTATTATTGAGTTTTACACGGGGCTTGTGCTGGATTGCACAGTCCTTTCCAACTTCTGTCTTGGGTGTTGTCAACAACCAGCAGAGAGCGACCCCAACTTCGTCACTTGGGCTGAGAAACATCAATGTCAGAAGAATACTGATGTTGGCTCCGGACAGATGGAAGTGGAGGCTGCTCTGACACTTTTCAGGCGCTCTGTCAGCAGGTATGGCCTCCGCTACACCAACATTATATGTGATGGTGACAGCCGAACCTATCTTGCTCTGTGCAAAGATGAGGTGTACGACTTCATACCACTGACCAAAGAAGACTGCGTGAACCATGTGCAGAAGAGAATGGGCACCGCTCTCCGCACACTGGTGACAAGAGCTAAGAAAGGGGAGCCATTGGGTGGGAGAGGTGGACTGACGCAGGAGTTGATTAAAAAACTGACCAGCTACTACGGGTTAGCCTTGCGAAAACACACAAGTGTCCCTGACATGCAAAGGGCCGTGATGGCCACTTTTTATCACGTCACGTCCACCGACGACGAGCCTCACCATGAGCTCTGCCCACCTGGCCCTGATAGCTGGTGCAAACATCGTTCAGCACAGGCCAAAATGGAGCCAGCACCACCTCACAGGTATAACCTGTCGAAACGTGTAGCGGAGGCTCTGCTGCCTGTATACCAACGTCTCTCTGACCCGCAACTGTTGGAGCGATGCAAAGGCAACAAAACTCAGAATGCGGCGGAAAGCTTGCATTCAGTTATTTGGTCACTGACTTCAAAGGACCAACACGCTTCATTGTTCGCAGTGGAGACAACAGTACATGAAGCAGTTGCACGCTAGAATTTTGGGAATTTGCGAGCCTACACTGAAATGTGCAAGTCCGTGGGCATCAAACCTGCTAGCCTCGCCCTTCAAAGAGCTGAAGAAAAAGACCAGCAAAGAAAACGAAAAGCACGCAGTGCAGAAAAAATGAAAGAGAAAGGACGTAAGAAGACCCTCGCAAGCAAAGACACAAAGTATTACAGTCTCGGGGCATTTTGATGGACCTTTACTGACTGTTCAACTTTAACGCCAGTTTTCTCAGAAACGTGTTTTGACCCGACTGTCCAGCTTGCCACGATGCTTGCATGACTATGGCTTGACGGATTTTCATGTGGTTTTTTGCATTGTGTTCCTCAGTGAATTTTCTATGTCGTGACGTTTTCATATTTGTTAATTACTACCTCAGTATTTTTACTCCTAAGCTAATTTCACATTATGATAACGACCACATTTACAAGCATGTATACAATGTTCTCTGTAAAATAAAAACAGAGTCATAAAAATATTTGCAGAATGTCACGACATCAACCATCCCAATGGCTAAAATATAAGAGCAACTATAGGCTTCTACCATGTTTTTTTGTCACACCAGGCTTTGGGCAAGTTTGGTAGTACACTGATGGATAAAAAAATTTATAATGCCAGAACTACTGGAGATAGCTGAATGAAACTTTGTCATTTATCATTTAGCGCAGTTTCCAGTAAGCATGCCAAATTTCATTGCTCTACGACAAAAACTAAAGAATTTCACTTTCGATCCCCACCTCCCCCCTTAAAGGGCGATGTTGGAGCGCTGGGAATGATGGTATATGCGCCTGCGAGGCTTGTGTTGGCTGGTGTTGGGCGAAGCTTCGGCTCAAAAGTGAATACGATTGCGTAAATAAAGCTTCTCTAAAACAAAACGTTTAGAAGCGGATTTCATTCACGCGTATTACATTCTAAAATAAAAGTATACTCATCTTGACGGCACAACCAAACAGCGTAAGGAACACACGACATAAACATGATGGAAAAAACGCTTCTTGCGCTTTGTAAAAATGTACCTCAATGTAGAAGGTTCTTGCGTTATTTTAAATACAACATGTTTCTGAGCAATGACAAAAATAAATAGCCTATTACGTGCTCTTTTAGTAAGAACTCAATCATTTTAACATGAAGCCAGGCGAGTCTTGGAGCGGACTTTTCACATCACTTGGCATACTTCCAAGACGGAAGCAACGTGCCTGCAGTGTCAACACAGGTGGCGGCCATTTTGAGACTGCCTTGCTTGGCTTGGATCGATCTGGCTAATGGGGCTTACTACGACTAATCGCTAATGCATCATATGAAAGTCGATGCATAATTTGGATGATTACAGTGTTATCAAAGCAAAAAACACTCTGCTTATAGACAAAATAATTTTAAAAACCACTAAAGCGATACTTACTTAGCAATTAAAGTAAAAAAAAAGTTGATGGAAAGCGCTCGCTTGGTAACGGCCTTTCTCGAAATAGAAGTTACGTTCGGCATGGCGCTGACAGCTGGTGCTCTGTGCGGCAGGGCCTGTTTTGACCTTTTGTTAGTCCACTACTCGTGTATCGTGTGCATCAGTTGGTTGTAGATGTAATCACGGTGTGATGGAACCTATGCAGCCAAACACATCAGCCAATGTCCCGCGTCGTAAGCCATTGCAAGCGACAAAGCGTAAGCAGGTATCCCTGAAAGACAAGCTTGATATCACTGAGCAAGTTAAGAAGGGAAAGAAGCAGGTGGACGTCACCGTGGCATATGGCTTGTCGAAGAAGATGGTCAACACCATTGTCAATGCCAAAGCGACGATCTTGTCGAAGAAAGTATCAGGTGACTTACAAACCAAGAGGTTTCGGCTCCGTGAAGCTTCATATCCTGATGACGAAAAGGCCCTGCTGATATGGCTTCGTGACGCTTGTTCGCGAAATATTCTCGTGAATGAACTGCTGCTACGAAAACGTACGGAGCAACTTGCATTTGTTCTAAATCAAGAACTGTCCAATGCAGTGAAGGTTGGCTCAACCATTTTAAATCGAGGCACGGAATCGCTTTTAAGTGTCATCCAGAGAGTCGGCCAGCGTCGACGACACTGTTGTTGTCCAACTGGAAAGCCGATGTTCTTCCCGCTCACCACGAAGACTATGCACCGCGAGATGTGTTCAATGCCGATGAGAACATTTTTTAGATATAAGTTAAAGCCAGGAAATACTTTTTGTTTTGCCAAAGACGCGTGCCATGGCAGCAAAAAGTCCAAGGAGCGCGTTACAGTTCTCTTTTGCAGCAATATAGATGGGAGCGGAAAAAACCAAACATTTGGTTATAGGCAAGTCGAAAGGATTGCGGTGCATGCACAACATGCACGTTCTCATGGACTGGGATTCGAACAAAAGTGCCTGGATGGCCAAGGATATCTTCAACCGATGGTTGCTCGACTTTGACAGCAAGATGCACCAACAAAACAGGAATGTGTTACTTTTCCTCAACAATTGCTAGAGTCACATGCACCTTCACCAGCTACACGCAACTGTCTCATACTTCCCGCCTAACACAACGTCAAAGGCGCAGCCTATTGATCAAGGCATTGTGCACTCAGTAAAGTAAAGGTATTGCTCACGCTTCGCTGAGCGTTTACTTTTCGACATGCAGCAAAAGCGAGACTCGGTCATAGACCTCAAATTTGCTGTGCAGGTACTTTCGGCGGTGTAGGCGCAGATTAAGCCAGCAATAATACAAAATTGCTTTAGAAAAGCTGGCTTTTTTCTTCGGTGACAGTTACTGCACAGACCCCTTGCCACTGAAAGGCCAGCCAGACCCCAGTGTCTGGTCAGCTGTCGAGGAGGCCTTTGGGTGCCAGCAGTTTTCCGATTATGTAACTGTGGATAATGACCTTGTCAGCTCAGGGCAGCTGACAGATGAAGAAATTGTTGCCCAAATTCGCAGTGTGCGAAATGCAGAGCAGCAGGATGAAGGCGCAAATGAAGACGGCACCTCACAGACTCTCAGTAAACGTAACTCCTGTTAAATGAAACATATTTTCCCGGTCCCTTCACGTTCCACTTATTGAAAGTCTACTGCAGATTTGTTGGGTATTTCTGTGCAGAAGCGTTGCTCAGCGCCGTTTGAAGCAATGGCGGCGAGTATGGATGAGTCATTTTGACAGCTGACATCACATCAATTCAGAACACAACTTTGGCATACGCATGTGGCTACAGAATATACCAGGAGAAGGAAAGGACGGCGGCTCACCTGGACTTCCACGACGTGGATGGAGTCCCAACTGCCCATAATCTTCTTGGAGCCGTCGCCGCCCTTTTTGATTAGTACCACGCCCGCAAAGCCGTGGTCTAGGTCCCAAAGGTAGACGGACGAGACGCCACCCTCAAAGTACATCTCCCGGTACTGGTCAAAGGCATTGTTGGCGTCCACTTCCAGCTTGCGGAGCCGCTCCGAGGGCAGGGCGCCGTCCTCCAGCGGGGGTTCGTAGTTGTTGCTCCACGGGGACCTGCAAGAGATTGTAAGTTTTTTCAAGGTGTAATGACACCAATTTTTGAAGCTGACTTTACTCTGGCATTAAAATGCCTTGCATGCAGAGACTGCTCTCACCAAGTGTGAAGCGCACTAAATGCCGATACCTTTTTCTAAATTTAAGTAACTTTCCGCACAATCACACTTACTGATATCAACACTAACAAGATGTCGTGCTATAGTATCAGTTTATCACACACCATCTGTGATGACGTCATGCACCAAACATACGAAATGGCTATTGTGAGTCACCAATGAAGTCACGAAGCAAAGTGTCACAGGAAACGTTACTAATAGTAATATCTCTGGTTTAAAACCATGCTATGATTATGAGAGACATCGTAGCGGAGGGCTCCTGAAATTTAGACCATCTGGGTGTTCTTTCAAGTGCACTGACATTGCAGAGCACACATACAAGGGAAGTCGCATGGCATCGTGTCACACAAAAACATGCATGCACAGTTGTAGATCAAACTGACAAACACGGTACAGGGATGTTTGTAGTCTTCTCCTGGCTAAATTATTCTGGCACATATAAGTACACTACAAAGTGAAACTAGATTTTAAAACACTTGCTGTAAGCAATTTTTCAGGGCACACTCACGCTTACCAGAACATTTTCAAGCTCCTAAAAATGTTGCCTTTCATTTCCCAAAAAAAAAAAAAAAAACTTTTCGTGCCACTGCCTTTTCAAGCTCGCCTCAATAAAGAATTTTCCCGACCAACCTGAGGTTGGTCAACAAATGCAAGGTTCAATTCATGCTCGTTCGCATTCACATGCTATTGCAAGGATACAACGGAATTTAAAGAAACTCACGGAATGAAGTTTTTAAGTGCATGTTGTGGACAACATAATGCAGTACAAATTGATTCGGGACTTGCCTTTCCACTACTATGACAACACATCTCTGATGTGTAAAATAGTGCACTAAACATGCTACCACAGACAACTCAAATAGAACAAGCTAAGAATACACTGAATGCATTCTTCCATTTCTGTTTATAGACATCATTACATATGTGGCTAGTTGGTCACCTAAATTTTGTGGGCAAAGCAACATGCTTACGCATTTACAAATAAGAAAAGGAAAGAGATAAAGAATTTACCTTAACGGAAAAGTTTTCTCTAATGAACTGTCACAATAAAGGCGGCACATCATTGTCGCCAATGGCACTTCCACGCCCTACATACTGAGCAAGCAGTGGTGATATCCAGCAAAAGTTTTGAAAAACACTACCATTACTCTCACAGTCTTTCTTAACTCTGCATTCAACTCATGGAAGTAAGCAGTTGACAGCATTTCTTTGCCTGTGCACAGGCAACAAGCTTGGCACTGTGCCTGAAACACTGGTAGCCGTGCATACCAACGCGTTTGAACCTAAGTTGCAAAAAATTTTGCACAAGCAATATGCCCAAAGTGACTGACCAAGAATATTTGCGAGATCAAAAACAGAACAAACACGAGGCAATGTTTACAAAATGAGATTCACTGCCATTTTTATGATACTATCTTGAGTTTTACATGCTGTGGTGGTGCTATCACCCCTGTAAAGTTGTTTGCATCTCATGGCGCACGTGTTTCGCGCATAGGCCGCATTTCGGGTTCACGACTACCGAGAGCTAGGTAGCGTTGTGCTCATCAGCGTTTATCACCACCACCATCATCATCATGGCTGCTAAAGCGGTAGCGTCGGCGGTGGCACCTATCAACATGCCTTGGTGGTAGCAGAGGAGAGATGAGCAGTTCTCTTTGGCGGGTGGCGGTCGGCACAAATGGTTGTCTCTCGTGTGGGTCCCCGATGCGCGCTGGAGGCCCTTGTGGTGAGTCAAGCGTTGGCGACACCACCCTGCGTGTGTTCTTGTGTTTGTCATGTTTTCGAGTGTAGTGTATTATTGTGTAGGTTGTTTAGCATGTGGATCACAATTGATGTATAATAGTTTGGCTGACGATATCATCGTTCCAAAAGTAGTTAAATAATAAATGCGTATCGTTTGGTTTGTTCCGACCAGTGTCTACTGTGTCCATTTACTCCAAGAGCATGGCACCCTCGCCACTCGAGATCCCACAATGGCGCCTAAGGTGGGGCTCTTGGAGCATCTAATGACAGTGGTCGCGGTTCGGTACAAGCTTTTGTTACAGCTGGGGAAGAGTAGGCCTGAGGTACTAGGGCGACTTCCATTGCATCGGCGGTGTGCTTTGTTGAGAGCGAGAAGATCGGTTTTTGTGACGTGTTTGAACTTGTCGGCACGTTGAGTTTTTACTTTTTTTGCTCGCAAGTGGTCTTTTTGTTGTTGTTGTTGGTTTGCAAGAACGTTGTTCGGTTGGGACGAGAGCCATGTGGTCTGCATGCTGGGGTGAGCAAAGCTTAGAGCATGTGGATTGTAGGCCAAGCAAGAGGCGAGTGATTACGGAAGGCTCGTAGGTGGTCAGAGTTTCTGTAAATAGCTCTTCTATCTCTTTGGGGCTCGGGGAGCCGGGCGCCGTAGGTGTCTTGTCTTGCGGATTGACAACGGGGCGTCGTGACACCGTCCAGGACGGTGCACGCCAATCATTCGGTAAGCTGCTGTGTACGGCAAGCGAGTAGGGCCGCCTTACAGAGTGAATGTCTCCTGCCGGCTGCCTCTTCTACGCCTAGGCTGGGTAATGAGGCATGCCACAGAGGAGGGCTCGAAAAATTTCTGTTACCTGGCGCTCTAACGTGAACTGTACACAGACATGAAGCATTTCACCTCTACTGAAAGTGTGAGTGCTATGGCCAGCATCAAAGCCATGACTTTCGAGTCAGCAGCCGAGCATTGTAACCATTATACCTCAGAGGTGAGCCCCAATTTTGTGACTGAAAAAGACTCCACCTTCAACGATAAGCTGTAGTCCAAGTCCGTGATAGTGCATGTTACGTTCAGGAAAAGAGGGCAGTTAGCAAAGCTTTTTCAAGTTGCTATTTCCGGAGTTTGCTACGTATTCGTTCATTTCCATGTCATTTCACATGACTGCACATGCCATGGGCGAGTGTAGATGGCCGATCAATTACCTGTAGGAGTCACCATCCCTGTTGTAGTCGCAGAGCAGATAGTCCTTGCCGCACTTTTTGTCAGTGGCTATCTTCAGTGGCTGGTCAACGGAGGACAGGAGCTCTTCACAAAGCCCAGGCACCTGACCACAAGAGTGAGATATAGTTACCAATGATGCATTTGAAAACAACTAAAGTGTGGTTTGTTGGGCAAGTCGTTACATACTTAAACTTGAAGTAAGCAACTAAAACATCAAAATTGGAAAAACTAGTGAGAGGCACAAACAGAAACAGTTACACGGATGTGGCTACTAACAATTGACATTTAACTTCGAAAAACACCTCCTCCTAAGTCGTTCCGTGTTTTTGACCAGAAAAAAGTTATTTTCTTGAACAGAAGTGATTTCCATGGATAACATTGGAGCAGCGATATAGTACGGGTAATTTTGCCCATACTCTGCACAGGCAAACAAAAAGGCAAGTTTGTGAAACGAACTAGATAAATAACGATATAACTTGGCCCAGCAAACATACTGGTAAAACTAGGTGGTAACATGTTACTAGCTCGTATGTCTGATTTTAATTTGCATACAATGATGAAATGTTTTGGGGTACTAAACACTAAATTTACATTATTAGGCACATCAAAATGATGTAGGCATTCACTAAAAAAAGATGCCACCGGCATGAAAAAAAAAGGAGCTACTGATGATATACTTCGTTTATGTATGCACTGCTGCATGCACAGTGGTTTGGAACTTGAAAATAAGACGCACAGCCTGGCGAAAAGACAGGGAAGCAAGGAATGTACTGACTCGCAACCATTTTGCCTCTAATGCCACCAGGTTAAATGAAATATGATAAGCAGCCTACAATAATACAATGGCAACATAATCCATCTCTCATGCAAGAATGTGGATGCAGCATGCTCCTTTCGTTTACGAATCTTTCAAATGTTTTTCTTTCTTCGCTCAGTTTTGTTGCATTTCAGGAACTTTTGCACCAATAGCAAGTCATAGGAAATGCCAACATTGCACGCTATTGTAAGCATTTAATTGCTCGGCTGATAACTATGGATAGCCTACACCAGGTGATTCTGATAATGCAACAATACTGTGCCAACTCAATTAGCCACAATTAAGGGTGCTGTGCAGCGTTTTGTTCCATCCTTTGCAATGCACCATCAGGCAGAGATATATCATTACGCATTCTTACAAAGAGTACATAACGTTCTCGTTTGAAGCATGCGTGATTTCATGACTCATCAACTGTTACGGTATTTATCTAGTGCTGTAAATTACATATTACGACTTTGCAGCAGCTAATTCAATTAAAGCCCAATAAACTGCAAATGCTGCATTTCACAAACCTGAATAACTAGCTTGCCTCTCTCACACACGTACAGAAAGAACAACCTAATGACAATGGCCCTCTTATGCAGTTATTACACTGTTTTTTTTTTTTGAGAAATAATTCCACTGGCAGCAACATTACAGAGCGAACCGCTTAGTCCACATGACAAATATTACTTTGAAAAGAATTTCAAGCTGGGAAATGAGCAAATCAGGGCATTTATTTCGCGACAGTAATGTCGGAGCACGGTGCACGGAGGTGTCATTCAGTGCGTCAAAGAATGAGATTGATCCGAGCGACGGCGCATCAAAATCGGCGACTTACCAGGTCTATTAAGTCGCTCAGGTTCTTCTCTATCTTCTGAGGCGGTAACCTCCTCATGAGATCAAGGGCGGAGTCGAGCTGTTGATCTGCCGTCTGCAGCGACAAAATAAACACAGGATGTTGCAACACACGCGCGCAAAGAGAAAAAAAAAAAAGCAGGAGCATGCAACACGAGCAACAACTGTCGACTCGCAGCAGCGTCACGGAAGCAACGGAGCTAAACGCGAGCGAGCGATGGGAAAAAGAATGGTGTGTTTACATTGCAAATGAGGGAGCCGTGTTGAAATTCACGCTCATAAACCACCGTTCTTGCACGGTTCTCCACAGGTGCACCACTTCGTACCGATGAACAAGTGTGCGCTTTCTTCGGGTATTCGGCACGCGTCAACGGCGGTATTCGCGGTCGTCGAATCGCGAACACCGACACATTTTGCGGCACGATCTGATTACCGTTCTTCGAACTTCGAGAGAGGAGGGGGGGTGAAGTCCACAGAGTTGAAAAAGCGGCCCCACTAATGAACTAGCACTTGACGCGAACGCGCTGCCGGTTCTGCAGTGAATTATACGCTTACCTCGCGAACGCGTAATGCCCTTCTACACGTAGGAACCTGGTCGTCAAGGCGCGCTGCTTCGTTAAAACACCACTCGTAACTGTGCCGGCGATGCTGACTTAGGCTTAATCCTGCCATCTCTTCCAAATTTAATCGGCTCACGCGGGCTGTGACTCGACGTGCGATGTAACCTCCTCGGTCGCGAACGGGCCGAACAATTCCTCGTAAGCGGAACAAAGGGGGAAGCGGAGTTAACTTACCGTCATTGTGAACTTTACAAGCAGAAAATATTTTGCCAACGCCCTCTGAAAGCAAACGGAAGTGGTAACGCCGTAGCACACTCGGATTATTTTGCTTGCTCGGATCGGCCCAAAGTCTTGTCACATACTACGTCAAGTGAACGAGCGTAACGCTGATCGAAGGATATTATTTCCAGTTTCGTTCTCCACTTTCGGCAGTTCTCTGGGAAGTGAAATAAAATAGGTTGGGCGTTCGAAAGAGTACAAGTGATATCTGAACGTTTTTACGATATTCTAGACGCCAGTTTCACTCACATCCTGCAAACTGACTTGTAGTTTAAATGCTTTTAAGCGTGAAAAAATTGCTTGTAAGTAAAATTAAGTGTGATTGTCAGTTCGTTGCATATTTTATAATTTGTATTGTTGGCAAGCTTGACATAAAACTAGACATTTTCACGCTAAACGACACACGTAACCGAAGTAGCTTATGTGTGCTGGCCACGGTGGTGAAATTACTTTTCGCAATGGCGTCCGTGCCGTAGAATGTGAGCCCTCCGTTGTAAACCACTTATTGCACTTTGACAACGGCACTTATTGCACTTTCCGCTCTTCACTCAACTCTTAAAAGACATATAATCGCACTCTACCGCTGTGCGGAAATCGCGTAGTCTAGCCATAAGAAGCTAATGCTTTGCGTCTAGCGGAAATCTTGCAACTGGTGTGTTGCGCGCCTACAGTACTGCAGCTGCGATGAGCCGGAGTTCAAACGATTCGGAGGAAGACGGCGAAATCGATCGTGAAGAAACGCGCTACAACATGGTTTCGAGCAGCGTCACGTCGCCTGCGAAGGAATTCGCCGAACAAGCGGATGACAGGTGGGTGGTTGCGCGCGCGATTCCGCTGTGAAAACGTAACCGAGAACTGTTAGTTGCAAGCTTGCTTGAGCCGCCAAACAGAACCTTGCCGAGTTGTCATCACAAACGCGTGGGCATTACTGTGTTGTGTTTTGATCGTACCGTTTACTTGTCCTATATCTCAGTAAGCTTCAGCTTCGCTTTCCCGCGTGAGTTGGCTAAACTTTAGCGAGGCTATTGGTAACTATCGATTAGCATTGCCTGTGAGTCAAAGGAAACTGCTGTTGGCATCTACTGATTAAAAGCTTCTGTGATGTCAAAATGGCTGGAGATTTCAGTAAAGTAATTGCTGAAGAGTTTAAGGCAAATGTGCTGGTCGTTCACTGCATCTCCTGCCTAGATTGTGATTCTGCTCTTTAAGCAGAATGTACAGACCACACATTTCCAGTACGTACAGATGAAAAATCCTTGAACATTGAGAGTTGGTGCCTTAAGTAGAATCATTGGTTCCAGCGACACTCTCTCATGAACGATTTTTTATTTCTCCAGATATACACGTTTTCCTGAACTTCTGCCTAGTACATTCAGAGCACTTTTCATTCTAACTAGGTCTACGTCTTGCTTCTTGGTAATCCACCAAGTGCTCTGCTTTATTAAAGTTTATTGCCTCTCTTCTTCTTTCCCTTCGACCTTCTACATTTTGTGTCAAATAGTGAGCACATTGCTAGTACTGTGCCCTATAGTTGAAATGTTTCTATTCTGAACACAGTGACAGTTATGACACCGAAGATGGAGGCGAGGACATGCTGCACATACAGCCTCCCCAGGCAACCATTGTTATTCCGAAGCGCGATCGTCGAGACCGCAAGCGGGACAGGCACTCGAGAAAGCACGAATGTAAGGAAAAAAAATTCTTCTTTTGTGAAACTGTACATGCTTCCGGGAAGCTATTTTCCTGCAGCACAGCGAACACACAATAGCACAAACTGCGTTCAGTTCCAAAGATCCGAAACCAAACAGGAGAGCAAGCTCGTCTTGCATCCATATAACCGGCATCGTGTTGTGGGTTCACAGGAACAATCGCACCATCTCTCACCCAACTGCACAACTATGGTGAATGCAGTGCTGGAAGCGCTCTACGGGAAACCTGAATTTCAAGTGATGCAAGAGCACCCCCTCTCTTGCATCCCATTCCCCCCTCTCTTGCAAGTGATGCAAGAGACGGAGGGAGGGATAACTTCAAAAGACGTGAGGAAGTCAAACGTACCTGCAGCTTACATCATCATCATCAGCCTGACTACGTCCACTGCAGGACAAAGGCCTCTCCCAGGTTCCGCCATTTAACTCGGTCCTGTGCTTTCTGCTGCCTATTTATGCCCGCAAACTTCCTAATCTCATCTACCCACCTAACCTTCTGTCTCCCCCTAACCCGCTTGCCTTCTCTGGGAATTTAATTAGTTACCCTTATTGACCAGCGGTTATCCTGTCTACGGGCTACATGCCCGGCCCATGTCCATTTCCTCTTCTTAATTTCAACCATGATACACTTAACTCTCGTTTGTTCTCTAATCCACTCTGCTCTCTTCTTGTCTCTTAAGGTGACACCTACCATTTTTCTTTCCATTGCTAGCTGCGTCGTCCTCAATTTAAGCTGAACCCTATTTGTAAGTCTCCAGGTTTCTGCTCCGTAGCTAAGTACCAGCAAGATACAGCTGTTATATACCTTCCTCTTGAGGGATAGTGGCAATCTACCTGTCATAATTTGAGAGTGCTTGCCAAATGTGCTCCACCCCATTCTTATTCTTCTAGTTACTTCAATCTCATAGTTCGGCTCCGCGGTTATTACCTGCCCTAAGTTGACATAGCCTTTTACAACTTCAAGTGCACTGTAGCTATCTCGAAGCGCTGCTCTTTTCCGAGGTTGTTGTACATTACTTTTGATTTCTGCAGATTAATTTTAAGATCTACCTTTCTCCTCTCCTTGTCTAACTCTGTAATCATGAGTTGCAATTCGTCCCCCGAGTTACTGAGCAGTGCAATGTCTTCGGCGAAACGCAGGTTACTAAGGTACTCTCCATTAACTCTTATCCCTAGCTGTTCCCATTCTAGGCTTCTGAAAACCTCCTGTAAGCACGCATTTACGTTCTGCAGCTTACATTCTTTGCTAAATATAAAAGCATTAACAGCAGGACTGTCCTTGTCCCATCGTGGCGATGGTAGTAGTTGTAGTAGTTATAATGGTCTAACAGTGATATAGGTTACATGACCGTAGGGGCTACTGAATAAATGAAATGACTGACAGTCAGTGGCGCCAGTGATCCCCAAACTACAATGACGCCTTTCGGTACATAATACTGGACAAGCAACTTGCGCTTTCGTAAATTACATTGATTACATTCAATAACTCTAACAAGCAAAGGCAATTCACACTCATTAATTACATCACTCAGATGCAATAATTGTAATAAACCATTAAAGGCACCTGGGTGTGTAAGAGGGTCATGTAGATATCAGGGAGCGAATACTTGGCAGGGTGGCGACGGCAAATCGCAGTGGCGCGAAATGTTCAATGAAATCGCATTGCCTGAGCCCGCACGTCAGCTGTTCTCACTTTGCTCAATCTAGTGTAAGCATGTGTATTTCAATTCTATTGGCAGTTTTACAACACCACATGATTTCGCTGTCCAATGACACAAAGTGGCGCACTTACAGCTTCACTGTCTGATGCTACTCACAGCATCGAAGGGACTGTATTTAGTAGTGCTATTCTTTGGGCAAGTTGCTTGTTCAGGTCAATAAATGTACGGGGCTAAAAAAAACAAGAAAGAGAAGACATGATTTGTGAAGGGGCTGCCAGCTAATGTGAGAAATAAATAGAAACGAAGGAGATTGCTAGATTGGGTTCAGAATGTGCAAGTTTGCTGTCTATTACTTTGACTATACAACTACTTGTGTTTTTATCTTGTGTATGACAGTCCCTGATGATGTAGGCAATCCTTTCTATGCTATATCTTCACGACGTCTCTTTAATATTATGTTGTTTACATCAACAAACTTCTCTTGTTAGCCAGTGCTTCGTCTCTTGTGTATACACATTTGTGCACATTTTTTCTGGGTTGTAAATACCTTGGCCGAAGTGCCAAGGTTTTTTTAGTGCTTCGCTCTACTGCCGTTTTTGTTGTGATGGTCCATTTCTTTCTGGTGATTTGGCAGCGTCGCACAGCCGTAGCAAAGACCGCCGGCCGAGCAGCCGAGATCGGAGCGGTGGACACCGGGACAGCCGGCGTGCGGCTGCTGACAGCAGCAGCAGTCACAGGAGCAGCAGCACCCGTAACCGCGACACACGCGAGCACGACAACCGGCACCGGCAAGCCCACCGAACAGAGGAAAAGGTGGCTCGGCCTGCGGAAGTGCCATCACGAACTGGGCGGAACGAGGCCAGCAGCAGCAGTGGCAGTGGCAGCAGCAGCAGCAAAGAGCAGGTGAGAGCATTGGCTGCAGGAAAAAAATGAAAAAGAAAACGAAGCAAGAAAACGCATTCAGCTGGTCCTCTTCTTCCTGAGTCTTTGTCAACGAATTTGGCTGAAACCCTCCTCACCACTCTCTATTACGATTACACTGTTTTTGTGAACTACCTGAAGCCTTTGCTGGAACCTCTGTTAGAAAAAGTGGGACTGATGTGCTGCTTCTCAGACAGGTGCACTCGGTCCCTCTTCTGAGCGCCTGCAATTGGTCGTTATCAAAATCAGCCCTGGTGGTTATCGAAATCAGCACTTGTATATACATTATTATGCCATATTTCGTGCCATAATTGTATAGATGCTTTACCACTGTCACAATTTTAATAGTAAATCACTCCAGTGTCGGTTAAAGTGTCTCCTAGTCTTTGTTTGTGGCAATCAATTCCAGTAATACTGCTTTGCATATAATGTTGGCTTAAATTATACTTAGTATATTTAGCGTGCTGCTGGCTGTATCAATTGTAAAGTATGTTCTTTTTTCTAATCAGGGAGTGCACCGCTGAAGGCAACACTCACACCGCGACCGTGTGCACTGATTTGAAAATGTCACTACGTTTCCCCATCCTACTTTCATGTTACTGTTATTGCGCCTGCACACCCCATCCTTGACTCTCTAACTTTCAACCTCAGTTGATCGCATATGCCTGTTCGACAATCTTGCAATATTTGCCAGATGCCCTTATCAATTTCGGTAGCAGTGTGTGCGTCTTCACCTTGTGCTGAGGCTGCTACATTCGCTGGTTTCCAGGTGAGGGCTCCCCCACGAGACGTTGGCCGAAATGTGCAGAGAGAAGTGAAGGAGGTGAGCCGCAGTGACTTGCGGGATGCACGGGAGAAGATCAGGGAAGCCAAGGAGGCACGGGAGCAGAGGGAAAGAGAGCAAAGGGAGAAAGAAGAGAGGGAACAGTAAGTTGCACATGCATTTACATTAGCACCTCATTTTAAAGCATGTAGCTTTCTTCAACCTATTGATCCACTTATCAGTTTAAAGGGGTCACTGCAACGCTTTTCGGACATGGGTCAGAAAAATGCTGCCTGGATCTGTAATCAGGCTCTCGCAAACTTGTGAGCGAAACATCACAGTGCAGCATGCTGCATAGAATTTACGATCAAGTGTCGAAGTTGGCTAGAAATCTCTCACTCTTCCATCAACAAATGATGCCACAAGCATATGACATTGATTATTTGGCTTACAGCCATTGGCTGTTTTCAGCAGCGTGAGCTGCATGGCTAACATGGACACCATGGAGTGCCACAAAAAGCTCGTGGTGCGCTCTATAGTGCTAGAATTACATACAATACAGAACTAAATCATTGCGCTCGTGATTCAGATGAAAGGAGCGAGAGAAAGCGCTTGAAGTATGCGACAAATCTCTGTGACTCCGCTCGTACTTGATGGATTCTAAAACTACTTGTAGCAGTCAATTCATGAGGCACCAGCCTTCAGTAGTTAGCTCGTTGGATTATTGCTTGAAGAAGCAGTTCCCGGGGAGCCCCTATAAATTGAAGGGGGGTCCGCCCAATGTACGGCTGACGCAGAAGCCTAGCTCATGTTTCAGCCGCACACAGTCCTATCGTGCATAAATAACTGTCCCCTTCTCGGAGCTCGAGTCATCGCAGCTACACTGGCTCGGGCGAATAAGGCAACAGGCTAGGTCAACAAAACACTTTATTGCTACGTAAGCAATAACGCGTAAATGTCGCATAGGTGGACTGTCCACTCGATAAAGATAACAAAGGGTAGGTTTACACCTTGGGTCGTCGATCGCCTTTGCTCCTAGGGGGTATCCTGAGGTTGTCTTCCCTCTGGTAACCGGCTCGAAAGAGCTTGTTTCTGTCGGCACGGTCGTCTTGACCAACCTTCCGGTTTCCCTCTCTCCAACAATGGTTGGTTCCTTCGCTGAGGGAGGGTTGCCCGTTTCACGAGCCATAAAAGGGGAATAGCGCATGACGGCTGCGGGGTGACCGGTCCCTTCGAAAAAGGCTTCATTGTCTTGTTTCTCAAAGGGACAGACATGTCCTCACAACTAGGCTGCCCCGCTGCCGTAAAAGGAAAAGGAACCATGGGCGCATGTGCTTCCCCACAAAATATACTAGAACCTTCACTGCCAGTGCAAATCTGCCAGTGTCAAGTGACCGAGTTACAGGCGCGTGTAGTCACCCAGTGCGAATTTTCGTAGCTGTTTATGGAGGCATGCTATTTATATATGACTGCCGTACAGATGCAGTACTGCATGATGCACTGCCTCGGGTACTGGTTCTCAAAGTATGGACAGATCTAATTAACCTAGAGATCACCAGGTATACGACAACTCTGCAAACTTATGGAAACGATTGATAATGTAGAGTTTTAACCGATTGATGTTTTTTTTATTTCCAATTCTCAACCAGAGAGCGACTTCAACGAGAGTGGCGCAAAGAGCGGCTTCTTATAGTGTCACAAGCGTCAGCCCAGCGGGAGAGGGATCGGGAACAACGAAAAATGGAGGCAGCCCGCTGTAAGCACCGTTCGCATTTTATTTGCTGCTGTGATTGCTGTCTTGGAGCCTTGTAGCACGGGTTTTATGCCTGCTGAGGTTTGATGCCAGCAAGCTAATACACTCAAACCTTGTTATAATGAAGTTAAGGGGAGCCACAATTATTTAATTATATCCAATATTTCATTATATCAAATATAACTAGCTTGTGGCAATGTATGCTCAGATGGGCGCACCCCTATAGGCATGCAAAGAAGGAAACTGCCTCGCGGCCCGATGTACCGCTACGCGACCACGCGTGTGACGGAAAATAAACACAGTCGAATCCTCATTAATAGACCTCTACCGGGGTAGGTCACAGCGTGACGTCTTCGATGCACGCGCAAAGCGGTGGTTGGCAAAACATTTATCTTCGATCAGACGTTTGTGCAATGAGTAAGAATCTTATCCGTAACGTCGCGCACAGCAGCTCAAAATCACGCTGCTGCCAGTGCTGTACTTCGTGTAGCATTGCACATGCCACGATGGAAATATAATACGTTTACTACACCCATGCCATGTAAATATTTCTCAAAGTGCCAGTCACCATGTACATTCAAAACATTCGTTTCGAGAAAGATAAGATTTTTTATGGCTATCATTTACGTGGGTGAAGTCCACTGCGTGCTAGTCGTGTCTCTCAATACACTAAATAAAGTTTCTCCATCCATCCATCTACAATGAGCAAATTGCCACACTATGAACAGTGACCCTTCTGCGACCCCTTTCTTTCAAAAGCTGTGACTTTAGACATAGCAATGTAGAAATTTCTGTCAAAGGAATGCAGACATGCAGCTCTGCTATGCAGAAAGATGCCGTTGAAGGAACTTTCTTGCCAACCAGCACCTGCTCGGAGAGATGGTATGGTGGGCGGGGTGCCCACAGTGACGTCACACTGTTTACCAACAGGAAGAGGTCTATTCGAACATGCCTAATTCGAACTTCCGGTTAATTCGAATTCACGCTGAGATCCCGTCAAAGCTATGTGTATTCCAATAGGCGAAAAGGCCCTGTAATTCGAACGTGCAAGCACTTGCGACGACTAATTCGAACATTCCGCACTCCGAAAATGCTCTCAGCACCATGCCTAATCCCGCGGCGGCACCTTTCAACGCTGTGTACAAAGAAGAAAAGAATAAAAGGAAAGAAAAGACTGGTGGATTGCTTGCTCTCCTTTAAATGCCGATCTGCGACGCGCCTACGCCACGCTTCTCCCTTTTCCTTCTCTGCGCGTAGAGACCCTTCTTCTTTCAAGGTAACGTGCGGAGAGAGAGGAAAAAAAAGAAAGCTGTCCTCTTTTCTCGGCGCAGAGGGTAGCAGCAGAGACACAGTCGTTGCCGTTGTCTTTAAGGCGACGAGAGGGAAATCTCTTTGCGCCACAGCGCCGCTTCTCGGTCATGTGACCCGCTGAGTGCTTCCTCAATCCTCTCCGCTGGCTGTGTGAGGAGGACGGCTCTCTCTGCCGTGCGTGGCCTGGTTGTAAGGTCGGCGCCGTTGTTTTGAAAGAGCCGAACGAGCGTCAAACTTCGCAGAAAATGATATTATTAACACATTATGGTTGTTTTTTATAGACTATTATATAGACTAATTTAGTTCGTTATGTCACTTTACCGGCCAGTATTACTTCGTTACAACGAGGTTTAAAATGCATAGTTCTCAAAGGAGCTTTTAAGGTGAATTTCATTTACTTCGTTATATTTATTATTTCGTTATATCCTGTTATGCTATAATGAGGCCTGAGTGTAAATAGCTCTAGCCCATGAGTACACATGTTAACATTATGTTACACTGGTGTGGAGGTACATATGTAAGTAACAAAATTATGAACAGTGTGTGTCTCGGGATACTGTGTTCCATGAGGGAAAACAGTGGAAAGACTGTGTGTGCTCAGGCTTGCACTTGGAATTTAGTTGTCATTATCACGTCACTTCCACCAAGCAAGCAAGACTTTGTTGGGCGATCGAGCCACATTCTCTTTCTGGGTTGGCTTGCTTCTGCCAGTGTTAAGTCGAGCTCCTACACATGCAAGGTGAATTGTCCGATGACCTTTTGTGCGATGCACGTCCCCTCTTCCCCAACCAAACCAGTGCTGTTCGACAATTGTCACAAAATGATGCAGCTGGAATGCATGCATAGATATGAAACCTCTGCAGAAAGACTCCTTTCTCTGCACATTTCTAGTGTGGATGCACGAGCCCAATCACGCTTTACTCATTAGTAAAAAGAAAATAAAGCGGCGACAGTCTTTTCTCTTCTGTCTGAAGGATGAACCAGATTGAGACCAATGGCGTGGAAGCACTGGAATTCACTGTACATACTATGCTTCTGCCTGTTACTGAACTTTCCATTTGGACGCTCTGACTTTCCTTCAAACGGTTCTGGATGTATAACTCGCGAAAGTTGGGGCTGAAATTTTCACGTGAGGAGCCTTCGTTTACCGATTAATGAGATGTTCTTGTTCTATTACTGGCCGGCGGTTATGTTCACCAGTTTATTTTTGACAGAACTGCTTATGATTCATCCTCTTTTGCACTGTAAAGGGCTGCCGAGAAAGGCATATATTAACTACATGGCCTTGTGATCATTATTCATGATAAAATTGTAACCAAGTTCAGGTAATCATTATACAGCACTGCATAGCAGCCTTTAGTCGCGTAGCATAAGTACAATTCTAAACCTGATGAAATTTTAAGAAGTGGGCACAGGGAAAGAAAGGGGGAAGAAAAAAATTTCAACACGTGGTTTTGGTGCGAGGCTAGCAGTCATCATGCGAGAACAAAGCTGAATGGCAGGAAACTCACCTCCAATCAAGGTTTGGGTTCACAGCAGCACAGTGTACGCTTTCATGAGGCCACATTTTTAAACAAAGCGACCAAAGAAACTCTGGGGCAACTTAGTACATGCTTCATTCATGCCTCTCTGCCAAATTTTTTGTGTTTTCTAATTAAGGTGTCTGACCTTAATGATTTTGACAATTTTTGCAGCGGACTGAAATCGCCAAGCTGACCAACAGAGAGCGCAGTCGAAGTCCTGTCGCACGGAGCGTGGATGACCGGTCCGACCTGCCAGAAATCTCTCTCACAGTCGAAGACGAGCGCCTCACCGACATCGGTAAGTTGAGTCGTGGTTACTCCACCTAATGTTTGTCTGTTATTCGCTTGGGAAGCAGTTATAAAAAGTGGTGCACTGTATTGACATTGACAGGCAAAGAAATGGAAGTGCAAGTAGATTTCTCTAAGGCAAGGTATTATGCTGAAGGCACCGTTAAGCCGAGCAGTCAATGCCGTACACTTAGAACCTAACGAGTGCTGCATGGTTGTTTTGTCGCATAGCATTACATGCACTTATGCAAAGTAGGTTTCTCCTTCGAGCACATTTCTCAAGTTCCTTCATATTCTTCTTCAAAGGACTGTGTGTCACAATTAAGGTACATATAGGAGTGTTGGGTTATACCTGCCTTTTGAGCTGTGTGTTTTTAAGAGTATATCTTGCCAAATGCTGAAGGAACAAGGAGTATGGTCCATTTTGTGAGAGACCACTCTAAACTAAAGCACATCTGCCTCAAGCTGTGGAGACTGTGGCTTCTTTTCTCCAAACTAAGTGTATCGTGTGGCACACACAGTAAGATGATAGAAGAGCTGAAAAATTTTAGTTTACCTTGGACTGCTGTCTGTGTTGCGCAGAACATTAATTGCTGGACATCTGTGGGTAACTTGTGCACGTGTTCAATACAAAGTAATCATCTTGATGAGTGTTCCAAAACTATATTATACTACCAAGGTATCCAATATGTGTTTTCACGTTCCATCGGTAAAGTGAAAGTTGAGAATGCTAATCACATTTTGGTCTTTTTGTACCAGTAGAAGTAATTTCACCAATTCCACACTGTGTGACTCCCAAAATAAAAGTTCTCTTTTGATAGGAGTGAATAGTCTACCTTGGATACTAAAATCCTGTTGAGCTTGTTGTAGAACTCTGGGACATACGCATTTGGCATTGTGGTAGTTGCTTTGTTGTGCTTAGAAAGGTGTTCTTGTGTGTGATAGCTACGTAATGAAGTACACGAATACATCAAATGGTAATGCCCTAAATCTTATAGAGGTACTGACAGAAATTTTTATTTGTCATTTTTTTACGTCAAATAAAGCACCAAGCCCTCAAAATCCTAGATGTACTACTAGCCATGTAGTGCACCTCGGAAAACTAATTAGAATATTTTTTAAAACTACTTTCAGTTACTATTGTACCCTGACGCCGAAAACACGACATGAGCTTCTCGTCACATGCTTGTGCAAGATATTGTGACACCATAGCAACTATATGTTGCTACGGTGTGGAGCGTCTCTACAGCCGCTCCGTACCGTAGCTTCATTAGTGATGCAGAAGCGGCCATTTTGGAAGTTCTGTTACCCGACGTCATCAAAGCTAGCCAGACTACTGCAAGAAGTCACCAGATTTAGTACTGTAGCCTGACGTAATGATAGTGTCAATGTTAATAGTTGTATCGTGGGAAAATCGACTTTAATATCAAAACAAAATATCTTATCAGCATTTGGTGAGCTTCACACTTGCTCAGAGCCATCTCTGTGTACAGGAGATTTGTGTGGCAAAGTAAACCTGCCTTCGAAAAATGTTGTCAGCACCCTTTCAATGCCGTGTGTGGGAGGCCAGGTGGGTTTTGAGCCTGACATCAGTTTCCTTTACCTCATTTATCCTTTAATGTGTTTACCTCTGCTTATTTACCATCTTCTGACTGATCAACCTCCAAGTTGTGCCACTTTTTCTTGTAGGCTACAAATTTTTCTGATACTAACTTGTTGTGAAGAGCATTAAAACATGTCAAAAGACATATTCAGGCTCAGAATGTTCACCTGTATCGAAATTAGTGTGGAATAGCACTTCAGAGGATATTTATCATCGTCATCATCGGGCCATAATAATGTAAGGTTAGTGTTATTTGAGAACTGCAGTATTAAATATAAGATGTCGTGCTTTGCTCCTGTCTGATCCTGGTGTAAGACATTCAAGCCCAGTGCTGTGCTTTCGTGCTTTTACTTGCATTCAACACTACAAAAAATGCTTGTTCTGATGGTTTTCAGTTCGCGAGGAGCGAGGTCAGTATGCAACCATTGATATTTGCATTCTCGCTTCATTATTCTTTGGTTCTGAATGTTCTGTACTTTAATGAAACTTGCACCAAAAGTTCTCTTCATAGCACACTTGTTTTTGAGCAAGTTGTAAGTTGTATGCATCTTTTTAGCCTTAGGGATACCGCATTTGAATAGATTGTTGTGGCAGTCAAACATTTGCTGGATCCACATCTAGTTCTTGATAAGGCCTCTAACCTGAATCTTTGAAATGAAATATGCATTCACTCAGTCATTCATTTGGACTAATCAAAAGCTGTTAATGAATTACAGAGCTGACAATTACTGTCTGCCCTTTGGCTTATCATATCTTCAAGCATAGACTGTTATAACGGGCACAGGAAACTGCACGCTATTTCCATCAATATTTTGTAAAAGCAACCACACAATATTGTCAATAGAAAGCTTTGGCATAATAGTAATAATTGCATTCCCAGTGTTCATTGATTATTTGCTGAAGTGCTGTGGGGTTTCACAGCTACCTTGTGTCTATTGTTCATCTCTACACATAGATTGACGTCAATAGGTGGATAGAAAAATGGCACGTCGTCTCCTGCAGTACTTCTGGTTCGAGGCATATCCCTTCGCCGCTTTGAAGGACCTGCTGCGCAGTGTAATAGAAAAGGAGACACGCGCAATTCTGCGACGCGTTTGTTGCCACTTGTTTAGTGATTGTGTTGTAGAATTCTTTGGCGAATGAATACATGACATTTTGCAAATTTCAGAGAACGAAGTGAAAAGTGGGAATCGGCGAACACGAGAAACGGTGACAGGCAGGTTTCGAGCAAATTTATGCCTTGAAACACGAACTACAGTAATTACTCTAATCTAACGCGCACCTTTTTTTTTGGTTAAACGAATTCATAAAACGCATGCACGTTAGAATCGAGTGCGAAAAAAAAAATGAATACAGTCATTCTATTGCCATCGGCATTTCCAAAATAGCCGCCCCCTACGTGCGTCGGCATGGCGTGTCGGCGATTTCTGCCTATGTGTTTCCCATGTGTGACACTTCGTACGTGTGCTGAGGAGTTCGTCATCTTGTTGTGCATTAGCATCGACGGTATGGAAGGGCCGACTCCAAAAACTCGACGAGTGCATCACGATGCTGCTTTTAAAAGAAAAGTCATCGCGTGTGCCGAAACAGACGCAAAATCGGGCCTCATCGCGGTCGTTCGGAGTTCCCGAAACGCGCGTGCAGGACTGGCGGAAACAAAAGCAGAATATTGTCGACAGCAAAGATTTACGCAAAGGCTTCAGTGGACTACAGCAGGGTTGGTTTCCGCAAATTGAAGAGCTGCTCGGCGAGTATGTGATTGAGCAGTGAGCCGCACAGCGGCCCGTGACGACAGAACTGCTCCAAGTGCAGGCTATGCAGTTAGCCTTAGAAAAAGGGCTAATGTGGAGCCAGTTTAAAGCGAGTAGGTGTTGGCTAACTAACTTTATGAAGAGGAAAGGCTTTTCCCTACGAAGGCGATTTTGAGCATGTGCCAAAAGTTGCCAAAAGAGTACGAAGAAATGCTTCACAGTTTTCAGAGCTTCGTCCTAAACTTGCAGCACAGCAACGGCTACCTGCTTGGGCAAATCGGGAATGCCGATCAGATGCCTCTTAACTTCGACATGCCTGGCACCACAACCGTCAAGAAGAAGGGGGCGAAGCAAGTTCGCATGCTGACATCAGGCCACGGTAAAACTAGAGTGACGGCAATGCTCTGTTGCACGTCAGATAGGCACAAGTTTCCCCCGTACCTCATATTTAAACGAAAGACGCTCGCTCCCGAAAGGGGTCGTTTTCCCGAGTGGTGTGATCGTGGGGGCAAACGAGAAAAATGGGTGCACGTTGCAGTTAGTGTCTTATTATTATATTTTTTTTCGTCGTGAAAACCGGGTGCGCGTTACAATCGAGGGCGCTGTAGAATCGAGTAAATACGGTATTCTTTTGCAGAATCGCCTCGATTTGGTATTTTCGACCACAAATGATGGTCACATCATAATCACTCACGCATATGAACACATGCTGCCAAATGTCAACGCATGTTGACAACATAAGTACACGTACTCTGCCCGACCAAGTATGTCAATACAGCATATTTGTATAGCCTATTCTGTATCCCTTACCGTCTGTCATATTTATAGAAACAGCTGAGTGTGTGAAAGGCCCATGGCACAAAACAACCGCTCAGTTAAAGGTATCGCAGAACATAAAACGATCGAAGTCTCTTTAGAAGCAAAGAGTTGCATGATGTGACATCTCTATTAAATCAGACTTACAAGCGTTACCTAAGTGCCGATAGGCTGTGTTTTGCCCCTGAAACTATATGTTGAGTATGCATTGAAACACAGTGTTCGAGTGTGTGAGGGAACGACATCTCATGTAAAGGAAGATTGAGAAAAAGAAAAAGCCGCACAAATGAAAGAACATTTGATTTTTAAAGTAAGACACAGTTTACTGTGGCCATTCACTATATTGAACCCAAGATGGTACTTAAATAAATAATCCTACGAGTGAGCAACATGAAAACAGATGGACCGATGTTTCATGATGCTATGATGGGCAGAAAAACGTTTGTATGCAAGAAAACAGGCGCGAGAACACTCTTTGCTGCAAAACAACATGCATGTGTCCGGAGGTGCATGCTGCTTGAATAAGAAATGACCGCTCGTACCATTATAACTATCTCATAGTGAATGCATTTGTTATTCATCTAAGCTGCATAGCACTCCGACATATAAAGTAGCAATTTGTCAGGAAAGGCCTACGCGAGTGCTAAGTGGTACACACAAAAAGCGACGACACTGGCAAAAGCGACGACACTGGCGGCAACGACATCCCGAACCAAAAGTCGATGCAGACGAGCGCCATAGCCCACAATCCTTTGCGTGGGCCACGATATTGCTATCCACCTGTTACCAACTAAACCTTGCATTAAGAGTATTGTAGCTGAATGTTTCTCGTCTCAGTGATCAAGGCAGAACGCAACTGCATGTGCGTTAAACACTGTTATTGATTTCATTAGGGCCGCCCTTCGAGTATTAATCTCTTCATCATTTCTTTTTGAGGGAAAAGAAAGCAAGAGGTTCACTGGACGAGCAGTCATATGATTGTTTGTTGGAAAAAAAGTGGCTGACTTTATGGGTATGGCGTTTCGAATTTGTGCTTAATGTTACAAGCTCGATTGATTCTTGACCACTAGGTTGCCATTTTAATGACAGCTATAGACGAGTTTCACAGAGCATACATCGCAAAAATGCAGTGGCGCTGTCGTCAAGCGTTTAGTTTCGCTTAGTAGGCAAAAGGTGCCATGCCTACAGCAGTTGCTGCTGAGATTGTCGCCGTGTGGAAAAAAAAAAAACAGCGTAATGACGAGCTGTCGCTGTTATTTGTGCAGGGAGATACAATAAAGAGAGAATACTGAGTCTTTATTATTATCTTTTTAAGGTTTGCTGTTTTTAATGACCTTTCGAACAATTAGCCGCAGCTGTTAAATTCAAGAACTTGTTTTTGACACTGGTTCATCCTCATGTTTTCGAGCGGCTTGCCCAGCAAAAATGATTAGCTTTGTCAAGCGTTTTGTTGTTGTGATAAGCCACACGGTATTTATTTTATTTTATTTGAGCCTTGTGTGAAGGCACAGTGAACACGTTCACTTCAAAACGTGTTAATATTGTGGCTAGAATTTTCGTATTATTATGGCTGTGATGACACACCTGACACTAGTTTCAGTGACTGGGGACACTATTGGACAGGGCTGAGGTGTGTTGGGAAGGTGCGTTTCAAGAGATTTTTATGTCGGTCAATCACAGAAAAACAGCATTCGGGAAACTTGCTCAGTCAGTCTATGAGCTGTATGCGTTTCGCGATCTTAATTTGAGCATACAAATGAAGCTGCAAACTTGACAGGTATGTAACCACATTGCTCATAGCATGTAGTTGAAGCACTTTCGGGGGCGTATCACGATCGAAAGCGTTGTTGAGATCGCACTTGTCATTTGCATGAATAACTTTCCCGACACATTTGTTATATGCAAGGATTTACCGTAACGATTCGTAACTACCATATTTACTTGTGTAATGAACATACTTTTTTTCTCGAAAAGTTGGAGCAAAGTTGGAGGATTACGCGGGGTAAATTTTATGGAAACTTTTTCGGGAGGAGCAAAAAATGCGGTAGTGCAAAAAAAAACTTAGGTAGCTTAGCCTTTTGCAATTTACATACACAAACACTGTCTGTAAACAGCTTCTTTGTTGCACTTTATTCATCTTCGGTGGTTAATGGCGCTATCTTCTGCACGCTGTCTCCGGGGGCCGCCCACGCATGCCATGAAAACGTTTTGCGGCTATATTTTTTGAAATCCAAATTTTGATCACTGAAGTTAGAGGTGCTTTTATTATGCGAGTGCGGTCATTGCGGTAGTAAATGTGGTATGTATTTTCACTCTGCGCATTTTTATATTGTACCCAAAAGACTTTTGCTTAACTGGGTCGGCCGTTCTTGCATTAGTCAACAAGTTAGAATGTACATGTGTGACCTTCTCTGACCGCAACGATGATGAAATCTTGCAATGAGCCACATTGCCACTATACGATAGCTAATGTTTTTATGACGTTGTCAGAGTTAGAGCTACATGTAAACGTGACTCGTTTGGTCATTTCGAAGCCCCTTTTACAGCCCTCGTAACTTCCTCTGTTGAGGCAGCTGCTTGTAAACCGGAGTGAGCTGGGCCGACGCATGGTTTTCGGAGGCAGCTTTTGCACCTGCTGTACCCGCTGTCTCGAGATCATAGCGGGCGTTAGCGAGCTATTACCTGGGACGGCTGAGTGGCGCCAATGCACCGCAGACTCCCTATAGGGGCCCTTTATTATAATGATGGTACCTGCTTTTGTTTTAAACATGGTGTAGGTCTAACTGCCTAAAAAATTGGCGTACCATGCTTTTGGTTCATGTTGGTAAAGAAATTGGGACGGTCAGAATTAAGCTGCGGCCCTCTGTTACGTCAACCCTCACAATCTCAACGTCCAGTTTTGCTGTGACAAAACACCGTTGAAGCTGCATACTGAATGTTCTCCTCTTTGTTGACCATTTCTCATTAAGGCTACAATGTTTTTGTTAGTTTGATCTTGCTACGTGAAATTCTTCTTTTTTTTTTTTCGCTACGAATGCGAGTACTAGCGAAATTCCTTGTACATTTTTTTTTTATGAAGTGTAACTTGGCGGAATCAAATGACTTTGAAGTTTACTTTGCCATGGCAGGTTGTCTTTAACACTTCATTGTGTACGTGCTTGTCTTTCATTTGTGCGTATATTTCCGTTTATGAAACCATCCTCTCTTCATGACATTTGATTTTTGTTTGGTATTGCAGCAGTATTAACTGAAAGTGAGTATAAAAAGAACAGCTCCTTTTTTAGTTTTCTTTATAAATAAAGTAAAAAATTTTAATTAGCAGGAGCCTTGTAGAAATAAAACCGACATTTTAAACTGTGGCTACCTTCAATGTTTTCATGTTGATTTGAGGGTGTGATTTATTGCTCTTTGTGTTTCTTTTTTTACGATGTTTTAAAGGTGTTTTTATGAATTAATTATAGTTCTGCACTTTTTCTGCACCTTTCAGTTATTTCGTGCAGGCATTCTGAAATCAACATCGGCCAATTCCCAGCACTATTTTTTTCAAAGCTCTTCTTACAGCTATTATTTTTATTGTTATTTTTTTAATACACCCTTCAGAGGACGAAGAACCAAGTCCACCGAAAGCCATCTCTCACATTGGACAGGGAGAGTTGAAAATAGCTTTAATGGACACACACGTTAACAAGGAACAGCCACCACAAGTGCCACCTCAACCACGCGCTGTCATGAAGAGTTCGGATGACGACGACGACGATGATGATGATGACGATGAAGACGACGACGACGGGTCCGACGGTTCCTCAGACTCTAGCAGCGATGACAGCAGCGACTCTGATGGTAAGTGTGCCGCAACTGCACTGATGCTGGATTGGTGGTCTAATTTCTCTCTGTTTTGCTGCGCACAGGTTTGGGCTTGTTTTTCAGGGCAGGAAAGACACCAGGTAAATGTTTCAGTTACTGGTTGGGTAAAGTCTTCTAGTAAAGTGAATTCAATTTCAGGGAGTAGATATTAAAGTGTCAACGCTTAGTGTGGGAAACCTTAGCTGCCAAACTGGACTTTTCCCTCCTTTTGTGATTTTTGTCTTTTTTTCTCCACACTGGATAGACGCTTAGACTAAGCATTAACGTACTTTGAACTAACGCCAGTTTTTAGACTATCGGCTGCACGAAAATTTCTTGCAGTAGATGTCGTATAGGCAGTATATAACAGATCCTTTGGGGATGTTTAGTGTCATGGCAATGTCTACTAGATCAATAAGCTTGCATGCAAGATATTGCAAAAAGTAATGCATTGTATCAACAACAATCCACTTTGGGCAAATTGGTTTTTAACGGTGTTCGTCATCAAACATGCTAATGACGAAACCGAAAGGAACAACTACAACAATGCTGGTGCCGAGTTTTTATCTCTTATTTCAAATCATAAGTTAAATCTCTGCGCATCAAGTACACGTGCACACATCGTCAAAAGAATAGTGTTTTAATGAAACTGTTCAACAAAAGATTGCACTTGTCCTTCACAAAAGCTTGTCCCACCATAAGAAGCCGTGTGCATGTGTGTAGATCTGCCGTGTGTGAAGAGCATAAATAAGCGATTCTTCGAAATAAAAGCCGGTATAAAATTCTGCACGAGCCCTTTCGTGCGTGTTCCTTTCGTCTTCGTCATTGTGCATTTATGAACAATGTTATTTACTGCAACATTTGTAAAGATTTTTGTTTGGCTGTTCCTTGAGTTAGGTTTACTAAAAAAACTGGCAAAATAATTAACGCTGAAGATGCAATATGCAGACTGAATGTCTCTTAAAAAAAGTACTTAAAGGGGCCCTGCAACACTATTTCGAGCAATCGAGTGAAGTCTAAAAAAATTTGTCGCACGCTTAGGCGCTTTCTCTCTCATTCTGACAACTGTTCTGGAAACTGAAGCAGGGAGGGATGGCACGAGAAAAATAACTTGCATTACGCACGTGTCTTAATCATGCGCACTTTCTTTTCTTCATTTTTTCTTCGAACGCACAGGTTTTTTTCAGTGTAATTGCGAGTGAGCGCTCACGCACGGGCCGGCCGCCATAACTGAACAGCTCGTAGGGTTCATACCGGCTTATGGCGAAAAAAATTTGGTTAGAGGCGTCATTTGTTGAGAGGAAACTGAGTGTTTTTAGCCAACTTTGAAAATAAATTATAAGCTCCAGGTCGCGTGCTGTGCTATAATGTCGGGCTCGCATGTTCTCAGGAGCCTCGACTATGGCCAACTGTTTTCTGACCATGCTCAGAAAGTGTTGCAGAGCTTCTTTGAAATATACTTAAAGAATAAAGACGCAAGACATGTCACTGTTGGCTTCAGAATTGGTTTGATGTTGAAGACTTAACACGAAAAGGGCTTATTATTTAAATCATACTATATTTAGCCTTAGCAGTACAGCCAGTTTAAAAAATTTGCATTTTCAATTTGTAAAAAAGGTAATGTGATTTGTTTTTCTGTCTTCAATTAATGTTTATTGGAACAGCTGTAACATTTCTTTTTCCTCCCCATGTACTGATTTACCTTTAAATTTACATCAGTGCATTGGGTGAACATGAGATTCATATAGTACCATAATGAAAATAACAAAGTTGCAAAAGTGAAGTACTATTCATTGCGAGATCACTTTGAGCTCATACTGTTCTTTGACTATACAGGGCTTGAGCTTTTGAGAATATCTTGAATAGTGAAGCATTTTAAGGCTCAATATGAGTGAAAAGCCTTAGAAATGCATGTTTAAGTCGTCAGTGTGTAGCAGCGGTGCCCACTAACATAAAAAAGAAAGTGTATGGAAAGGGAGAAATTGAAAAAAAAAAAATGAAAGGTTCAACATAAGAAATGTATAAAAAAAATAATAAAGGTATATTTAAAGTTTTTTAAAATCGAACTTAAGGCCTCTATCTGGCACCATCATGAACACTGTGGGGCTCATTATGGTTAAAACAGATGTGACACCTAATGTTTTATCATAATCTGTGTTATGGGGGTTGATGCTTGTACGTTCACAGATAAGCTTGTGAATGTTGGCGCATTTGGTCGAACACCTACTGCATTATTGAATATTTTTATAAACACGCTTGCAGTTTGAGAGTCGGGCAACACTGACGGCGTAACGAGTAGCTTCCTGTGCGACCATCTGCATTACAGCAACCACGCTGTTCCGTCATAAGCTGCATATGAAATCAAGATATTTTAGCTTTTATTCAGCTTGGCACGGAAATTAATTATTTGTAGAGGCTGGAACATTGGTAAAATACGGCTCCTTTTACAATGCGGCATGTGACATCACAGACACCATGAAAAAATGCCATTCGCCGGCTGTATGTGGTGTTTATATCTGGTGACTTCCAGGGCTTGTTTTGCACTAAATTATTCTTTTACAGTCTACTACTACTATATGTATAGGCATAATGTACCTTTGCTTCTAATTTTTCTGAAAACCACAAATTGTCGGGTGATTATGTCATGGCTCCTTTAACTAAACACCCTCAATAACTTTTTTTCATGGAAACTAGTGTGTCAGGACATGTTATGTTTTCACTTTACTGTGGGCGTGTGGGCTTAACCAGTTCCTAACCACACCTACATCTTAGCTGCAATGATTCGCTCAATTCTGAGATTTAGAGATGCCGCTAAGAACCGATTATCAATCACTCATGACTGTGTCAATGCTAAGCTGCAATTTTTCTTTTTTCGAATGTTTAACATACCATAAATTTTCTGAAAATAGATAAAAAACATTCATTTTTGTTTAACTGCATTTAGTTTGATTTTTAGATTATTGTGCTATGTTGACTTGCTTTGTAACATCTTCAGCGTAGGAAGTAAATGAAATTTATGATATTTTAAAAACTACATGCTGTACAAAAAAAAAACAATTTTGTACATTTGAAATTGGCGCACAAATATAGATAAAATGCTAAACCTTTGTGATGAAAGTCTGCTAAAAAATAAAATAAAAAGGATTTCATGTTTTAGGAATGGAGTCGCCCCCTTTAAAGGGGCTTTGCAACACCTTTATTTTATAACTTCTAGGCTTGCGCGACTAGTGCTTTGCCGGTTCAAAGCGCATAGTTATTTTGGTCGAATAATCTCGAATCGAATTCGAATAGTATCTAGAACATATAAAAAAATTAGCATATTTATCATTGTCTAACTAATCTGTACAATAATTAAAAAAATTGAAATAGGGCCTGTATGCAAATGCTTTTTTTTTTCCTTCAAAGGTAGTCTAAACAACTTAGAGTAGTAGCAGTATTTGACTTTTAGTAGGATTAGAGTGATAACCTGTAAAATGCATAACATCTTAAAATTGATTATACTTAGAGCATATAAGCCATCATAACAAGCTTCTAAGCTTAAGAAATGATGAATCAACTTCAGAGTAATATGTTTGTTTAAATGGGCCCTGCAACACTTTTTCAAGTAGCCGTGCAATGGATTCACTAAAAAAGCTTATTGCCTCACGAATTCACCACTGCAAAAATTTTTAGAATCCGTCCATTAAGAGTGCAGTCGCAAATATTTGTCGTACGCTACAAGTGCATTGTCTCTTACCGTCCTGATGAAAGTGCTGCAAGCGGAAGAGGGAGTGATGGCATGGGGAAAGAAATAATGTCAAGCACACCTCATGGCCTTGAGAGAGAGAGAGAGAGAGAGGAAACTTTATTAGAACTTGGCTGGCAGCTTGGTCTTGGTGGCCTCAGATGGCGGCGCTGAGTCCCTGAACTCGGGCGGCATCTTCGGCCTGCCGGACAGCCCAGAGCTGGTCGTTGAGCTCCGAGCTTCTGAGTGCCGCCTCCCAGCGGCGGCGTCGCCGACGGAGAAGGCCTTGAGCACTTTTTTTTTTCGAATAAGCGACTTTTCGGTGCGATCGCGCACATACGCGTAGATAAGTGGCGGCCTCCCACGGTGGACGCAGTAACGACCGAGCGGGCCATGCTGAAAACCCAATGGCTGATACCTTGGCTGCGACAAGCAATTTTTGAGCAATGTTTAGATGACATTAAGAATTTATTGGCATTGTAGGTTGAGTGCTGTGCTGTAATATTTGGCTCGCCTGTTGTCGGGAGCCTCTACTATCAATCGGCAGTGTTTTCTAACAGCGCTCAATAAGTGTTGCAGAGCCCCTTTAAATTTGAAGCGGGGCTTCGCGGCAAAGCTGAGTTCTCCTGGGTAGGTGCTTTCACGGCTTAGTATTCCTATACTGCAGTGAAACCACCTCTACAGGCAGTCACATGCGAACTAATGAACACCTATTCGTTCATTGCGAATACTTTGAAATTCTCAATAATTTAAATTCGAACCAAATCGAATATGAATAGGTACTCTATGATTTGTTCAATTATTCAAAGCATCTGAATATTCGTGCAAGCCTAATAACTTCATTAAAAGAACTTATTGCCTCACGAATTAACTGCTACAAGAGTTTTTAGAATCTGTCAAGTATGAGCGGGGTTGCAGGGATTTGTCACATGCTTCAAGTATTTTCTGTCCCCTTTCTTGATAGCGATTGCACTGAAAGCTATGCAGGAAGGAAGATGACAAGGAGGCAAGAAGATGCGTCTCTTCATTACCGCTTGTTGTGACCTTGAGCACTTTTCATTTTTTGTTCAGGCGCGGAGGCATGCAGCGACATCTACGCACAGATCAGCCAGCGGCCATGGATGTTGGGTTTATGACATGGTCATTTGGTTTTATGGCATCGTTTGTCAAGAGGGAACAGTTTCTAGCGGACTTTGAGAATTGTCAATTCCAAGCTCTATACTGCCCTATAATTTTCGGCTCGACTACCAATTAGCAGCGTTTTATTACCATGCTCAGAAAGTGTTTCTCTGCCCCTTTGAGTTTCAAGCAGATCAGATCAGAAAAACAGAGATGTCCAGTAACATGCCGACATCAATTATAAACGTCAATAATGGG